AATATATATATATATAATTTTTTTTTTTTTTTTTGAGACAGAGTTTTGCTCTTTCACCCAGGCTGGAGTGAAGTGGTGAGATCTCAGCTCACTGCAGCCTCTGCCTCCACCAGGTTCAAGCGGTTCTCCTACCTCAGCCTCCCAAGTAGCTGGGATTATAGGCGCTTGCCACCATGCCTGGCTAATTTTGTTGTTGTTGTTTTTTTAGTAGAGACGGGGTTTTGCCATGTTGGCCAGACTGGGTTCGAACTCCTGACCTCGTGATCCACCCACCTCAGCCTCCCAAAGTGCTGATATTACAGGTGTGAGCCACTGCACCTGGCCAGGATTTCAGTACGTGTTTATCAGAATTAGGTCTAGTAGATGAAAATACGAGTATAAGGAATTGAATAGTGCATTTAATAAACCTGATTATATGTGTGTAGAAATAGTGTTTTAAATTCCTGGAATAGATCTTTTTTTAATGTCCAGGGAACTGTGGTCAAAGTTTAATGTCCAAGGTACTTGACCATAAAGAAAATCTTAACAGATGAGAAAAGTTGAGATTTTATAGGCTATGTTGTCTGGTAATAATACAGGTAAAGTAGAAAGAAATAACTATGAGATGACTCCTTTGAAACCTGCCTCCTGTTCCCCTATTCTCCCTATATTTGTTTCCACTGCAGAATTGCCTCAGTATTCTTGAACTGAGAAATTGGTAGTGGCAAGATCTTTATTCTTTATATTTGTAGCCTTACATTATTGAAATGCCTTTCAGTTTGATGCCTTTGTGTGACTGCCAGTGAACTAGGTTTTCCTAGCATACACGTGTTGCCCATGCCCACACCTAGATTATCAATGATACTGTAAAACTTGACCTGAAATTTTAGGTTGATATTCCTGGCCTTTCTCTTTCAAATTCCTTTAAACTTTCAGTAACCACTTGTGGGCCATTTATTAGAACACAGGGAATTTTGAATTAAAAACACATAATTTAAAAGAAACAGGAACACCTAATACTGAGAGGATGTGGAGAATAGCATATTCTCATACATTACTGGTGCAAATGTGAATTGTTACAGCCTTTTGGAAAATAATTTGACAGCTTGGTTAACAATTAAAATTCATATTCCTTTTGGCCTAGTATACCTCCTCCTAAGATTTCTAATCTTAGAAATAAAAGCCCAAGTAAGGCCATATGTATAGGGATATTTATTGCAGTGATGTGCATATTGTCAGCCAACTGGAAACAAAATGAACATTAGTAGGGAAAGGCAGGAAAACTGATACCTCCATAGATGGGATATTATGCTACATAAAGAAAAAATAAATTAGACTAATACCAGATTAGTTTGAGAAATTTCCGTAAGGTTTTGTTGAGTGAGCAAAGAAAGATGCGGAAAAGTATGTAATAATTTGCGTAACCAAAAAATAATTTAAGAGAACCATGCCTATATCATAGGCTCATGAGTATGAAGAAAAGTATTTAGGAATTCCTGTTAAGTGGTTAAATGTTTACCTTGGTCAAGGGTGGGTCAGAGTAACTGGGGAAGTAGGTTAAAAAAAAAATTGTCTGTGATCATATCTGTGCATTATCTGTAAAATTATATAAATATGTATATTTAAAGATACTAAGTAAACATTTAAAATAAAACTGACCTATTTCCCAGCCTGGGCAACATAGCAAGACTCATCTCTAAAAAAAAAATTAATTAAAATAAATTAGCTAGGCATAGTGGTGTGTACCTGTAGTCCCAGCTACTCCAGAGGCTGAGGTAGGAGAATCACCTGAGCCCAGGAGTTTGAGGCTGCAGTGAGCCATTGAGCGTGCCACTGCACTCCAGCCTGGGTGTCAGAGTGAGATTCTGTCTCAAAAACAAAAAAAACAAAAACCACAATTATTTCTTTTCTAAAACTGATGTTGATTTGCAAACCTAAGTGTTCATGTGAAGTCCACTGAAACTCTTAGGAGTAGGAGAGGCATAGTGGAGAGCCATAAAACCTTTTATGTTAGGCCCTAAAACAAAGAATCAAGGAAGTGTGTACACACACACACATGCAATAAAACAATAACCAGTGGGAAATTAACTAAGAAACTCGAAGCCTAGAGTAAGGTGGTTTTTGTGGGTGGTTGATACTATTTTTTCAGGGACTTTGCATTCCTTTGATTTGTCATTTTTGGTGTTGGCTTTGTGTTTAGGCATAGCACAGGCTTTGTGTTCAGGCTGTAGTACTTCCAGCTGTAAAATCCAGCCATAGCCAAGTCCAGAGAGAGAAGAATGAGACGGTCTCTTCTTGGATGTTTGTCATAGGCTGTTTTTTTAAAAGCATTTGCTAAGGCTGAGTCTGGGTTACAACTTAATTTTAGTGTTGTAGAGGAAGGTGTTTTAGGAATTAGGCAGAATTAGGCAAAGGAAGAAGTTGAGCTCCAATGCAGTCCTGACAAAGGGGAACTCTGGGTCAGGGTTACTTATTTGAGTTGCCCCATGTTGGATTGAAATGCCTGGGCCTTTATACTCTTTATGGTATGGGCTGCCATGGGAAGGGCAAACCCTGCAGCAAGGCAGCCCCTGAAGGAATTGATGTTCTGCTGACCACCTTCCCTGCTGCTGCTGGCAGCAAGTCCTTCCTTGAAGAGGAGATCTAGGTGGCGTGTCTCCCTGTCCACACACTTTCTTAAGAATGAGAAAATATTTCCTGGAAGTCATCCATCAGATGTGCCCTCACATCTAAGTATTAGATTACATGCTGTGTCAGAGGTTCATGGTTACACATCATAGCCTTTTCGTACTTCTCTAGTAAAAAGAATTCTGATTTTGTGATGGGTACATGATTATCTGGGATAACGGCTACATTTTTCAGCCTCCCTCTACTTGTAGACATGTCAGTAACTTCTGGCTAATCGAATGTAAGTTGAATTTTCATGTGTGACTTAACAGGGGGATAGAGGGTGTACCCTCCATTTTCTTTTCCTCCTTCCTGCTGGGTAGAATTTGGGTATAATAGCTGGAGCTTGAGCCACTATCTTGGATTATGAGGTAGAAACCACATGTTGGGGATGACAGAGCAATAGTATAGAACAGCATTAGGTCCCTGATGATCATGGAAATGCCTTGGATTTCCACGCTCTGGATTGCTTACCTTTGGATTTTTTTATCTTGGTGGTTAGTCCATTACTATTTAGGTTTTTCCGTCAGTTGCATTAAAGCCTAATTTTTTTTCTCTCTCTCTCTCTATATGTGTGTATATATATATGTGTCTATATAGATATATATTCTTTTTTTAAAATAGAGATGAGGGTGTTGCTGTGTTGGCCAGGCTGATCTTGAACTCCTGACCTCAAGCAGTCCTCCTGCCTCAGCCTCCAAACTGCTGTGATTACAGGCAAGAGCCACCACACCCAGCCCACACCTAATTTTAATTGATACACATTTCTAATCAGTCAATGATAAGGGGCATGGGAAAACACGGTTGGCTTCAACTAACATTTTGGGGTGGAATGGATTTTGGGGAGTAAGGCATGGATACATCTCTATCAGGCGAGTACAGCAGAGGGAGAGAAAGGCAAGAACATCAAGGGGTTTGCAGGGTATGATTCTTGTGATGGGCTATGGGGTCTTAACTAGGTATGTGAGAAAGACATGTGTGGATGGTAGGTGGTGAACAGTGAAGAAATGATAGTTCGGTGTATTGGTGGTCTCCATGGGGCTGAAGACTCATTGGAAAGGGGGAAATAGGCTAAATGAACTGGAGACATGAGACAGTAGTCAGAGGTTAGGGTGCTTTTTTTGTGGGTAATGTTGTTACTGGTAATAGCAAGGGCCAGAGAAGGGGATGGCTAAAGAGGGGTGGAGGAAAAGATAGTTAATGGTGAGGTTAAGAAATGGAGGCCGGGCGCGGTGGCTCAAGCCTGTAATCCCAGCACTTTGGGAGGCCGAGACGGGCGGATCATGAGGTCAGGAGATCGAGACCATCCTGGCTAACCCGGTGAAACTCCGTCTCTACTAAAAAATACAAAAAAAAAACTAGCCGGGCGAGGTGGCGGGCGCCTGTAGTCCCAGCTACTCGGGAGGCTGAGGCAGGAGAATGGCGTGAACCCGGGAGGCGGAGCTTGCAGTGAGCTGAGATCCGGCCACTGCACTCCAGCCTGGGCGACAGAGCGAGACTCCGTCTCAAAAAAAAAAAAAAAAAAAAAGAAACGGAGAGGCTGGGTTTTGGATGGAACATCTTATATGTTGATGCAGATAGTGGAATAGAGTGAACGATTTATTAATATCTTAGTGCATTAGGAGTAGCTGGGAGATGACTCAGAAGGTAAGGGAGGCAGATCCAGAAGCGAGCTTGTGTTCCGAGTGGCTGCTGATGTTGAAGAAAGAGGGAAGAAAAATGATCTGGAAATAGCCATGATGAAGGAAATAGCGTCCTTCTTAAATATTAAAAATTTTTATATAGCAGCAGATACTTGCTGGTTGCAGTGGCTCATGCCTGTAATCCCAGCATTTTGGGAGGCCAAGAGAGGAGGATTGCTTGAGGCCATAAGTTCAAGCCTGGCAACTTCGTGAGACTCTGTCTCTACAAAAAATAAAAAACAAATTTAAGAAATTTATGGCTGGGTGTGAAGGCTCAAGCCTGTAATTCTGGTGCTTTGGGAAGCCGAGGTGGGAGGATCTCTTGAAGCTAGGAGTTTGAGACCAGCGTGGGCAACATAGCGAGACCCATCTTTACCAAAAGGAAAAAGGATGACATAAAATTAAGATTTAGGTATGTTTTGTTCATTCCTGTTGCTTTTCATATTTTGCTGTCTTCTTTTTTCATGTATGTGATAAGTATTTGTTTCATCTAAATTTATGCAATCTGAATATAACTAGTCATTTTCTACTGGTTACAGTATGTGTTAATGTGCCCATTATGTTTAATTTGTATTATATTAAGAATTTAAAAATACTAATATATGAAAATATATAAAAATATATGAAATTAATATCATAGACTTAAGTTTTCTTTTTTGATTTAAATTACAGACTAACTGGATCTTCTGGGTTTGTAACAGATGGACCTGGAAATTATAAATATAAAACGAAGTGCACCTGGCTCATTGAAGGACAGTAAGTAGAAATGGCTGACTTAATTTTTGTTTTTTTAGCATAGAGGTCAGTGTGGCATTAGTTTTCCCACAAATAAAATTAACGATCTGTAGCATAAAGTACTTAAAACATTTACTTGATAACCTTTCATTTGACAAGTGAATTTTATTTTTCTTAGCCTTCATTAATTTAAAAGTTTCATGTTGATTTAATGCTGCAAATGAATTGTACACACCACAAATTTGTGTATTTCCAACTGTAATAGTTCAGAAATGGTTATTTTTATATATATATATATACACATATATATATATATATATATTTTTTTTTTATGGGACAGCGTTTTGCTCTTGTCACCCAGGCTGGAGTGCAGTGGCATGATCTCGGCTCACTGCAACCTCCACCTCCCAGGTTCAAGTGATTCTCCTGACTCAGCCTCCTGAGTAGCTGGGATTACAGGTGCGTGCCACCACGCCCGACTAATTTTGTGTTTTTAGTAGAGATGGGGTTTCACCATGTTAACCAGGATGGTCTGGAACTCCTGACCTCAAGTGATCCGCCCACCTTGGCCTCCCAAAGTGCTGGGATTACAGGCGTGAGCCGCTGCGCCCAGCCACAGTTACATATTTTTAATGGTTTGCTTAAAGCATTAGAAAATTACAATATTGTGTTATTTTTCTAAGTATCTATTTTTGTTGTGGATAAGAAAATTGTAATAACTGTTACTGCTTAAGTGATCCCTTCTCTGGACCCACTGTGTCCCTCTAGCTGTTGCTTTTTTTCTCCTTGTCTTCATGGGAGACTTTTAAAGCAGTATTTCTCAAACTTTTTTGGTCTCAGGACTTCTTTACACTCTTAAACTTTGAGGATTCTAAATAAGTTTGTTTATTATTTATTTATTTATTTATTTTGAGATGGCGTGTCACTCTATGGCCCAGGCTGGAGTACAGTGGTGTGATCTTGGCTCTCTGCAACCTCCACCTCCCGGGTTCAAGCGATTCTCCTGCCTCAGCCTTCCGAGTAGCTGGGATTACAGGCATGTGCCACCATGCCCAGCTAAGTTTTTGTATTTTGTAGTAGAGACAGGGTGTCACCATGTTGGCCAGGCTGGTCTCGAACTCCTGACCTCAAGTGATCGTCCTGCCTTGGCCTCACAAAGTGCTGGGATTACAGGCGTGAGCCACCGCCCCCGGCCCCAAATAAGTTTATGTTTGTCTGTGTTCACCATATTAGAACTTATAACCAACAAATATTATTTATTCATTTAAAAGCAACAATTATAAGCCCACTACATGTTAGTACAAATGATATTTTAATGAAAAAGAACCTTGTATTTAAAAAATTGTAGTGAAAAGAATGACATTGTTTTACATTTTTGCCAATCTCTTTAATGTCTAGCTTGATAAAAGAGCTGAATTATCATATCTTCTGCATTCACTTTATTGCAGTATGTTATTGTGATTGAAACGTGTCAAGAAGATGAGGCCTCACTTGAATATGAAGTAGGAAAAAAGATATTAATAGTACAGTATTATAAAATAATTGTATATAGTCTTCTTTGATGCCATATCAAAACTTAACAAGTAGTAATTTCTTAAAAGTAAATTGCAGTTTGGAATCTGAAACTATGTGAAGGAACTTCTGGTACTTGTTAAATTAAAATCCATTGGTTTTCTTGCACTGAGTGGATCTTTTGCCCATCCATGATTTGGTAACATGATATATAGGTCATTTGGAAAACAATAGGTCATTGAATTATGCAGATCTTCCATATGTTGATATATTTATTCCCTTACATAATATTTAAAAAATCACATTGGTTAATATCACCATCAGTCTCCTCAAAAAGTTCTAAGTATGGCAGATAACAAATTTTCCAAAATCCTGATTACTACTTGAAAGCTTGTATTTTATCTTTGGCAGCGAATACTGTCAGTTGTTTTCTTTGAAGTGACAGGCTTGCTTTCCTAATTTTTAAGAAAATGTCTGCCAGATATCCAACTCTGAATAACCATAATTTGTTGATTGTTCTTTCAAGTAAGCATGGTAAATGGTGTTGTAAGAAAAAAGTAGCTAATTCAGCTTGCAACTTAAACAGTAGCAGAAGTGGTTTTCATTGAGAAAACCATGGCACTTCTATTAGGCAAGAGAAGTGTTTTATATTTACTTTCCATCTTGTCAGAATATTAAAGAGATGTCTACTAAGTGGTCAGGATTTAATAAAATTAGAAGTTTTAAACTGCTTAATCAAGATGTCCTTAAATGAAACTGGCAGTTTTTCTTTTTCCTGTGAGCAATTGGTGGTGAAGAACAGCAGTGATCACTAGTACCATTTGCTGCTGTTGTCTCAATTTGTTCTAAGATGCCCACAGTTTCACCCACCATTGCTCTTTGAACCATTAGTAAATGCCAGCATGGCGATAAAATATATGCTATCTTAGTTTTACTGTGAATATAGTTTTGACCTCCTGGGACTTCCCATAAGGGTCTCAGGACCTGTAGCATTTTGTGGACTTCATTTTGAGAAGTGCTGCTCTAAGGAGCTCTGCTCTGTCCTATCAGTTCATAACCACCTGACGCCCTCTTCCACTTGTTTTTCTGAATATGCTCTCAATGGTTGTTCCTCCTCAGTGTAAGCGAAAAACGAAGCAAAGAAACTTTCATTCCTCCTTTTCCTTATTCCCCACATTTAGCCTGTCAGTAAGTTCTGTCAGTTTTCCCTTTAGAATATCGGCCGGGCACGGTGGCTCAAGCCTGTAATCCCAGCACTTTGGGAGGCCGAGACGGGCGGATCACGAGGTCAGGAGATCGAGACCATCCTGGCTAACACGGTGAAACCCCGTCTCTACTAAAAAAATAAAATAAAAAAACTAGCCGGGCGAGGTGGCGGGCGCCTGTAGTCCCAGCTACTCAGGAGGCTGAGGCAGGAGATTGGCGTGAACCCAGGAGGTGGAGCTTGCAGTGAGCTGAGATCCAGCCACTACACTCCAGCCTGGGTGACAGAGCGAGACTCTGTCTCGAAAAAAAAAGAATGTCTCCCCAATCCATCACCAGACTCCTTTTCACCTCCATCTCTACAACTGGGAGACCCACCATCCTCTCTCTCCTGGGCCACACAGTAGCCTTGAAATTGGCCTCCTGCTTTTGCCCCTTGCCCACCTCCCGCTTCTCATCTCTTAAGATTTTCTGTTTGCTGTGTTTCAGGCACGCTGATTTTCTTCATGTTGCTTGGACATGTCAGCCTCTTTCTCCCTTAAGACCATGCTGTTCCCTCCCTGGGCTTTTCACATGGCTTGTCTCTTGTCATTCTCATGTTGCCAAAGCTTACTGGGCTATCTCCCTACTGCTTTTTGTGCTGCCACATCACCTTCTTTTAATAATTCTTCACAGTATTCATCACCATCTGAGTTTACTTGTTTATGTATTTATTTAGTTGTTAACCTAGAGATGTTAGATAAGTGTGGGGTAGAGGAAAGGTCTAAACTGGAGAAATAGGATTAGGCATCAGCAGGATATAATGATGTTGATATTCCCAGAGCTTTCTGAGTGGAGTGTTGGACTGAAGCCAGGCTAGAGAGTGAAGGGGTGAGTGAGATAGAGGCACTGGAGAAAGCAAAGTTTTCTGCGAAGTTTTACCTTATTAGGAGGAGAAACGGTAGGGCAGGTATTTGGTAGAGGGAGAGTCGGGATTTGAGGCTTTTTGTTTTTATTTTTATTTTTATTTTTTAAATTTTTTTTATTTTTGAAACAGAGTCTCGCTCTGTTGCCCAGGCTGGAATGCAGTGGCACCATCTCAGCTCACTGCAAGCTCCGCCTCCTGGGTTCACGCCATTCTCCTGCCTCAGCCTCCCGAGTAGCTGGGTCTACAGGTAACCACCACCACGCCTGGCTAATTTTTTTGTCTTTTTTAGTGGAGACGGGATTTCACTGTGTTAGCCAGGATGGTCTCGATCTCCTGACCTCGTGATCCGCCCACCTTGGCCTCCCATAGTGCTGGGATTACAGGCGTGAGCCACCGCGCCCGGCCTGTTTTTATTTTTGTAAAATATGTGATACTTAAGCAGATTTAAATGTGGATGCAAAAGTTCCAGATGAGAGGGAGATGTAAAATATTTGAGAAACAGAAAGAGAGGCAGATAGGTACAGAATTTTGGAAAATGGGAATTTTAGGGTTTTTTGTCTGGTTGCTGAGCATAAGCAGGGAGGTGGGACTGGGTGATTTGAAATAGTCGTTGAGAGTAGCAGTTGTGGAGAGTGAGAGAGAATTGGTAGGATTGCTGGCAGAATCTAAGTGCCATTTGCAGTTGGAGAGCAGAGACCAATGCCGAAACCAATCTATCCAGTGGTGTGGTGTAGAGGTATGGCTTTCTCCAATACAGCTTAGGTTTTTTTTGTTTGTTTGTTTTTGTTTTTTTTTTAACCTCCACCGCCCCCCGTCTTTTTTTTTTCCTGATTCAATCTTAGAGCAGATAACTGGTTTCCTGTAGAACAGAGCTTTTGCCAGCCAGTGTCATGAAAAATCAGAGGGGCTGGCAAATTTAGAGGATTGGCAGGCATGTTTATGAAATGATGTAGTGTGGAATCTGAAGTTGAATAAGGAAGTGCAGAAATGGTAAGGCTAATTGGTTGGTTCAGAGGCCATTAAAGAGTGGCCACTGAATGGACTGTAAGGCCCAGAATCATGGACCACATCAATTTTGTTTCCCATTGCATGTTTAGTAGTCTTGCACATGGAGAGTACTAAATAAATCTTTGACAAATGAAGGAGTACTGATGGGGCAGTTGTTAGACTGTGTTACATATTATTAATTTAAAAATCTGAATTTTTATATTCTCAAATGTCTGATAGTTACAATAATTTTATTATAAATTCCTTTTTTTTATTCTTTTCAGGCCAAATAGAATAATGAGACTTCGTTTCAATCATTTTGCTACAGAGTGTAGTTGGGACCATTTATACGTTTATGATGGGGACTCAATTTATGCACCGCTAGTTGCTGCATTTAGGTAAGCTCAGTCATATAAGCGTTCTTTCATCATTGTTTGATTCTAAATTTAAACATATCTTCTGGATTGCATTCTTACTGGGTTCACCTTTATTATCACTTAAAACATTTATTTTATGGAAAAAATACTAGTTCTTGAGTCCCACCATCACTTGTGTGTTAGTGCTAACTTGGTTTCTGTAGCCCTGGGTAAGTTTCTAGGCATAGTACGTGACTTCTCTCTTCAGTTTCCTGATCTGTAAAATTGTGATAGTTCTATTAAGTTCACCTGCTCCTTGTGGTGGTGGTGAAGTTTATCGTTACAAAATATTTTGAGAGTAATATATTGAATGAAACTATTTCTGTGAAAAATTTAAATCAGGAATAACATCCATCACGTTCCTTGTGTAGTGCCCATTGCATAGGCCTTCAGGAGTTATTTGTTGAGTTCAAATATAACTGTGTGTGTATATGTATGTGCATCATGAGTGAGGGAAACTTTTTGGAACAGTACACATAAAATGAATAGTGGCTACCTGTGGAGAAATCAGGAACATACTTATTATATATATTTTTTTCAATAAGTACATTTACATTAGTAGTTAAACAGAAGCAATTTAACACCAAATATATGGAGTGTTCTGAATTGTTAGGGTGTTTTACTTTTGATTAGCAACAAGTAGCTGTGTTGTTTGTTATGTTTTTGGCCACATGGGAATTCAAAACTGTCTCTAATTTTCTTCCTTTTACTTGATAGAGGATTTTAAAATACAGTCATGTGTCACTTGGCAACAGGAATACGTTTTGAGAAATGTGTTATTAGATGATTTCATCATTGTGTAAACATCATAGGGTGTATTTACACCAATAGATGGTATAGCCTACTGTACATCCTGCTGATATGGTACAGCCTATTGTACCTAGGCCACAAATCTGTACAGCATCTTACTGTACTGAATACTGTAGGTAATTGTAACCCAATAGTATTTGTATATTTAAACATATCTATACATGGAAAGGTACAGAAAAAATACAGTATTATAATCTTATACAACCTCTGTCATATATGTGGTCCGTTGTTGACCAAGTGTCATTATGTGGTGTATGACTGTATATTTTTCTAAAATGCATATCCCCTTAGGAAACCACCTGCAACTGGCTTTCTAAATTTCTTTGTCTCAAACGTTTTATTTCCTTTACTTTAAAAAGAAATCAGTTCAACAAATATTTTTTGTGTTTCTCACGTGGGGCTTGTCTGGCTGATGTCCCGTGTGGGTGAGGGAGTTAACAGGAGGCAAACAGTACACAAGGACAGGAGATCAGGTGACTGTTGTGTCCTCGTGTTTTTCTACCTGCTTTGGCTTAGAAATCTCTCAGACGTATCTTTGAACTGAGAACCAAGGCCATTTTCTGGGTTTTAAAGGTTCATTTACAAGGCCAAAGAGCAGGGTGGATGGCTGTGCTGAACATTTAAAGTGGCATTGGCCAAGTGTTGGAGTGTGTATCTTTATGCCAGCATTTGAAATGTAACTTGTAGCAAGAAGCACCCCAAACTTTAACACAGGCCCAAAAACTAAGTGTGATGTTATCATAATAGTACTTGTTGGGGATTCACTTGTTACTGTGTTTGTTAATCAGAATTCATGGAGCTCTTGTTGTATGCCAGGCACTTTGAATCAGCTTATCAGGAGCTTTGTAGGAACATGAGCCAAGCAGGTGTACATCACTCTGTGGTTCACCTGGACGGTATATTTGATAAACCATGGTAGCAGTGGTAGAGCAGAGAGAGTGATTGAGAAAATTTTTCAAAAGAACATTATTCCTTTTAGAGTTTTTTTTTTTTTTTTAAAGAAAGTTATGTGCTGGTGGGGCAGTTGTTAGACTGTGTGATCTAGAGGAACCCTTCCCTTTCCCCCTTCCCTTTTCCCCTTTCCCCTTCTCCTTCCCACTTCCCCTTCCCCTTTTCCTTCCCTTCCCTTTCCTCTTCGTCTTCCCCTTCCCTTTTCCTTTTCTTTCTCCCCCAGGCTGGAGTGTAGAGGCAGGAACGTAGCTCACTGCAGCCTCAACCTCCTGGGCTCAAGAGATGCTCCCACCTCAGCCTCCCTAGTAGCTGGGACCACAAGAATGCAACACTGTGCCCAGCTAATTTTTTTTTTTTTTTTTTTTTTTTTTTTTTGTGGAGATGGAGTCTCACAATGTTGCCCAGGCTGGTCTTGAACTCCTGGGCTCAAGCAGTCCTCCCGCCTTGGCCTCTCCAAAGTGTTGGGATTACAGGTGTGAGCCACTGCATCCAGCCGAAGATTGCTTTTGACATACCTGTTTCCAGGTGGCCCTGGTCTTGTCAGTACTTATTCCTTCAGCATTTCAAGGGATTCTGGTGTATATAACCAGTGAAAGCATGATGATGGTTAATCCTTCATTTACATCTCCAATCAAATGTCACCTCTTCCAAGAGGCCTTCCTTTCACCCTTTCTAAAGTAGCACCTTCTGTTCTTTCCCTCTGCTCTCCTTCCCTTCCTAGCGTTTGTCTCTACCTGGCATTATGTATGTGGGGAGTATCTGGGCTTATTTGTTGTTTTTCTAATGTGAACTACATGAAGGCAGGGACATAGTCTTATTCACTGTTGTATTCCTGGTACCTAGAACAGTGTCTCACAGGTAGTAAATGCTTAGTAAATATTTGTTAGTTGAATACATAGTAGAAAATGCATCACTATTTTGTAACTCCTGGAGCACCAGAGTTTCAGAGTTCCTAGAGTTCTGTCTTCATATTAAAAATTGAAGGGCCAGGCGTGGTGGCTCACACCTGTAATCCCAGCACTTTGGGAGGCCAAGGTGGGCAGATTGCCTGAGGTCAGGAATTCAAGACCAGTCTGGCCAACATGGTGAAACCCCATCTCTACTAAAAATACAAAAAAAGAAAAATCATCTGGGCTTGGTGGTGTATGCCTGTAATCCTAGCTACTCAGGAGACTGAGGCAGGGGAATTGCTTGAACCAGGGAGGTGGAGGTTGCGATGAGCCGAGATTGCGCCACTGTGCTCCAGTCTGGGCGACAGAGGGAGACTCTGTCTCAAGAAAAAAAATATATGTATATATTGAATAAAGGGCCAGGCACAGTGGCTCAGGCCTGTAACCGCAACACTTCGTGAGGCTGAGGCAGGAGGATTACTTGATCCCAGGAGTTCAAGACCATCCTGGGCAACAGGATGAGACCTCATCTGTACAAAAAATTTTAAAAATTAACCAGCCATGGTGGTGTGTGCCTGTAGTCCCAGTCACTCAGGAGGCTGAGGTGGGAGGATTGCTTGAGCTCAGGAGGTCAAGACTGCAGTGAACTGTGATCGTGCCACTGCACTCTAGCTTGGGCGACAGAGTAAGACCTTGTCTCAAAACAAAACAAAGCAAAACAAATGAAATGAAAATCCTTTCCCTCTTCATTTTGATTCCTTGCTTATGGACTCTTCCAGTCATTTTTGTATGCATTTATATAGGTACATGTAAGTGTACACATGTACTAGGCCCATTGTTTTGCAGCTTGCTTCTCCCCTATGCCCTTATCAGAATGCCTGATGAGCTTCTTTTTAGTCCCGCAGACCTATGTAATATGCAGTGACTTACGCAGTCAGATTTCTGGGCATGAGCATTTAGATGGGTTCCAACCTGTTGCCATCTGAACAGTGCTGTGGTTAGGATTCTTGTATATTGGTCATTGTGTACATGAGCAAGTATTTTTTCTACAAAGAAATAGAATTGCTAGGTCAGAGTGAATGAGCATGAGGTTGTATGTCTGGGACAGATTGCATAGGGCTTGGCAAGGATCTCGGTTTTTACCAAATATGATGGTAGTGGTGGTGGTCGCGAATCAATAATGAGGCAAAAATCACGGACATATGAAGAAATGCAACAGCAGGTAGACATAAGAAAAACGATTAACCTCAGGAGTAAAAAGAACTCAGAACAACAATTTAAATATTGCTTTTTACTTATTAAATTAGCAAAATTAAAATAGAACCTAGTAGTCCTTGCTGTTGGCAGAGTGAAGTGGGATGGACCCTTCATTCTGTATTGATATGATTTCAAGTTACATATCTCTTCTGGAAAGCAAGTTGGTATTATGGCTCTAGAGTCTTAAAGGCATCATTTAGACCTTTTTACTCAGTAAGTGTTTTTTTGTTTGTTTGTTTGTTTGTTTTATACCAGTCACACAACAAACATTTAGAATCTATTATGTGCTGGGTTGTGAGTGAGGTCCTAAGGAGAACCTAGGGAGCTTTTAATGATATAGAAAATGCATATGTTTTATTTGTAAAATAGAATATACAATGTAAATAACATCAATTAGGCTAAGAAAATGCATTAGAATGCTAACAGTGTTGGAGTTATGGGTGTTTGTTTAGCTTCTTCATATTCTTATATAAATATTTTATATAAAATATCTTGGGCGCTGTGGCTCACGCCTGTAATCCCTACGTTTTGGGAGGCTGAGGTGGGTGGATCACCTGAGATCAGGAGTTCGAGACCAGCCTGACCTACATGATGAAACGCTGTCTCTACTAAAAATATTAAAAAATTAGCTGGGCACGGTGGCGGGCACCTGTAATCCCAGCTACTCAGGAGACTGATGCAGGAGAATCGCTTGAACCCTGGCACACAGAGGTTGCACTGAGATTGCGCCACTGCACTGTAGCCCGGGCAACAAGAGCAAAACTCTGTCTCAAAACAAACAAACAAACAAACAAACAAAAAGAACTCATGTCTTTCAGCAATATATGTGTAGTATTCATCACTCATAAAATTTGTTACTTTACGTGATTGTGGAAGTTTATTTTTTCAAAGAAGCACTATAAAAAGTTTTACAAGAAAAAGAATAGGGTCATTGATTTCAAATCTCATTAGAAATACAACTCAGAATAAAGGAAGCCTAGCAAAAGATTCAGATCTGTTCCTCAAGGATCCAGAACTAGTAGGGTAGCACTATGTATTTATCACAGGAATTTGCCTCTCTTCCTGGATGTGGTTTTTAAATTATAAGGACGGATTTGTTTTAAATTTGTGTCTGCTACAATTTGACATGTCTCTGCTTGTGCTTCCCTCTATAAGAAGTGTGTTTTCATTTCAGTGGCCTCATTGTTCCTGAGAGAGATGGCAATGAGACTGTCCCTGAGGTTGTTGCCACATCAGGTTATGCCCTGCTGCATTTTTTTAGTGATGCTGCTTATAATTTGACTGGATTTAATATTACTTACAGGTAAGATTCTTAAGTCTAGTATTTGTGGTTTCATTCAGGAGACTATCTACTATGTTTTAACAACAATAATGGCTAACATAGATTGAGAGCTTACAGTGTGCCAGGCATAGCATCAGGCAGTTTACATGGATTTTCTCATTTTAAATTTTTCTATAAATTCATTGAGGTCTGGGCTCTGTTTTTCTACTCGTTTATAATTGAGGAAACTGACAGGAAAAGGTTAAGTAGATTGTCAAAGTAAGTGGTGGGAACACAATTTAAACCCAGGTGTTGCTGCTGTTGAACTTCTCCTAGAAGAGGGGGACTTTTCTGCTAATGGACAAAAACATTGGAATTTTACAAAGTACAGCTCAACAAATATTAGTAGTTGTCATGTACTCAATAGTAGGAGAAATCTATATCATTAAAGTACCTTGATAGCTCATTTATCCCCCTCTTTTAAATTCTGAATTACATTGTTTCAAAGCACTGTCAGTACAAGTATCTTATGTTATTATGGGATGCATTATAGTTGAATTCTTTTTTTTTTTTTTTTTTGAGACAGAGTCTAACTGTCATCCGTGTTGGAGTGCAGTGGCACGATCTCGGCTCACTGCAACCTCCACCTTCTGGGTTCAAGCAATTCTCCTGCCTCAGCCTCCTGAGTAACTGGGATTACAGGCACCCGCCACTATGCCCAGATAATTTTTTTGTATATTTAGTAAAGACGGGGTTTCACCATGTTGGCCAGGCTGGTCTCGAACTCCTGACCGTGATTCTTCTGCCTCTGCCTCCCAAAGTGTTGAGATTATAGTTGTGAGCCACTGCGCCTGGCCATAGTTCAATTCTTACATTAAGTTAAAGTAGCCTGCCTTCTTCCATCTGAAATGAGTAGATAAAATTACTAAGGAATTTTAAATATACCAATCTGGGCAGTAACCTTAAATTCTATTATATACAAATTTTCAGAGACTATACAGAGGAATATGTACCATGAGGATGGTGGTGTATTGTTGGCAGTTTGTTTTATTCTTTTCGTTTCCAAACTTGCAACCATGAACTCAGCAATTCTGTAAAGCTTGTCATTAGCAGGCTACTAAGAAGAATAGGATAATCCTCCCACCCTTGAGGAGCTGACAGTTCTGCAAAAATCTCCTCCCTCCTTGTAATTTCTTTGACTTTATGAGTTATTTATTCTTATCCTCTTATTATGAGAATCCAGCAGGGTTGATTTGATTTCATTACTTGTACCTCAGGCTCTAGCTATGCAGTGTTGAGCAAACCCATTTGGACTGAATCTTTAAGTACTGAAGTTATGCTTGTGAATGAACTGAGACAGTGAGATTCTTAAACCTGTGTGGGAGAAAGTTCTGCTAAGTTAATCGAAGTGTTGTGTTGTGTTCTGTTAATGTAATTTACCCTGCTATTTTCACAGTTTTGACATGTGTCCGAATAACTGCTCAGGCCGAGGAGAGTGTAAGATCAGTAATAACAGCAATACTGTTGAATGTGAATGTTCTGAAAACTGGAAAGGTGAAGCATGTGACATTCCTTACTGTACAGACAACTGTGGTTCTCCTCGTCGAGGCATCTGCAATTCAAGTGATGTCAGAGGATGCTCCTGCTTCTCTGGCTGGCAGGGTAGGAGCTTCTTTCATTTTTATTTTTTCTTCCATTTATAGAACATTCCCAGCTAAATAAATAGATTGACTTTATTCTTAGCACCTATATAGTTTATATTAATCAAATACCAGGTAGCATTTAAGCTTGAAACATCCCTCTATCCAGCTGCTTATGAATTTCAATTTCATAGATGTGTGGTCGTGGTCTCTAGAATTATGGAGGGTAGGCCGTTTTTTGTAACCTGTTTGTGAAAGTTGAAGAACTTGGACTCGGTCATAAAAGGATGTAGCAGAGAGCCAAGCTGGGAGATCGGACAAGAGCTGACAATAATGATATTTCCTCAGAAACACACTCTAAGTTCAGAGAAAATTGGAATCAGTTATATATTAGAATCTTAAAAGGAGTTAGCGAATAGTATTATCTACAGAAATAATTAAAGAAGCTTTAGGGAATTCTTTAAGGGGTGAGTGATAATAACTGTTATTAATTTGGTGATTTTCCTTGTAAACTTACCCCTTCCTCAGAACCTTTTTATTTTGAAAGGAAATATGCTTGTTTAAATTTAGTTTGTTGGGTTTGGCTGACATTGTAGAGTTAATAATTGAAGCATTTCAGTATCTACCATTGTGCAAATATTGCAGCAGAAGCCAAACCTCCCAAGAATGGAGCCTGTCTCTTCAGTTTGTTTAAGTTTCTTGATTTACCAGAAGATGGATAGTTTGTATGATTGCTCCCAGGTCTAGTTATCACACTTATTCGTCCATATCCACAAATTCTGCATCTGCAATTTCAAACAACCGTGTGTAGAAAATATTCAGAAAAAAACACAATGAAAGATAATACGGGCTGGGCGTGGTGGCTCACGCCTATAATCCCAGCACTTTGGGAGGCCAAGGCAGGCAGCTCACCTGAGGTCAGGAGTTCGAAACCAGCTTGGCCAACATAGTGAAACCCTGTCTCTACTAAAAAATACAAAAATTTAGCTGGGCATGGTGACAGGCACCTGTAATCCCAGCTACTCAGGAGGCTGAGGCAGGAAAATATCTTGAACCCTGGAGGCGGAGGTTGCAGTGGGCCGAGATCATACCACTGCACTCCAACATGGGTAACAGAGTGAGTGAGATTCCGTCTCAAAAAAAAAGATAATACAAATAAAAGATACACATATGAAAACCATTTACATAGCATTTACATTGTGTTAAGTATTATAAGTAATCTAGACGTGAGTTAGAGTATATGGCAGGATGTGTGTAGGTTATATGCAAGTGCTACACCACTAGTTTAAATTAGGGACTTTGAGCATCTGTGGATTTTGGTACCAAGGGGGTCCTGGAACCAATCCCCTGTGGATATTGAGGGATAACTATATATTTTATCCTTAAGATTTTTCATGTGAATTAATTATTTATTTATCTGGGCTTTCTCCTGAGAGTTGCTTAAGCAGGTATTTCATTACCAAAAAAACTCTAACCTGGATATAGTCAAGTCATCATTAGAAAGTATGTGATTTACCCTTGGTCAATGCCCTGAATAAATTAAAATAACAAATTAAAGGACTTGTCTGATATTTAAATGCTAAAGGAAAGACTATTATTTAAATATTTGTTACATTTAGATGATGAAAACTTGAAATGCAGTAAGCTTTAAAGCTGTATTTTGTGAAGCTAATTCATTATGTTTTTATTAGGTCCTGGATGTTCAGTTCCTGTACCAGCTAACCAGTCATTTTGGACTCGAGAGGAATATTCTAACTTAAAGCTCCCCAGAGCATCTCATAAAGCTGTGGTCAATGGAAACATTATGTGGGTTGTTGGAGGATATATGTTCAACCACTCAGATTACAACATGGTTCTAGCGTAAGTTGTTTTAAACATTTTTGCAAGAAGCTTGGTTTTTTATTTTGAAAATTTATAAAGCACAGATAAGCAAAAATAAATCACCAGTAATTCTACTACCTAAGGAAAATCCCTGTTAATATTTTGGTAGTAGTCTTTCAAATTATTCTAACATATGTTGAGTTTTTAAAATTGAATGCTACAAAAAATTCATTGTCATGATACGCATTCATGTTTTTCAAATACTGTCTCTGATGTTTTGCTTTAAGTTTTGTAGTAAGTTCTATATAAGTAGGGGATTACTTTATCTTTTAATTTAATTAATAGTTCCAAGGTCAAATGGTTTGAATTTATAGTTTGCTAGTGGAAATTATACCATCGTCTAATACGTCCCAGGGTTCAAAGTCTATTTGCTGATCCCATGCTGCTCATTTTGAAGGGAGAATATGTGTTGTCATAGTGGAATTAGCTGTGGAGGTGGACTTGTAGAAAAAAATTTATAAATTTAATCTTGCTGATTTTATTACCTGGAACTTTTTTCTAGGCATTTTCTATTAATGAAGATTGTCCAAAAAACCAGCGTCTGTTCATTAAGGGATTCTGGAAATATGGCAGCGGTGGCCTAGTTTCTGCATCCCCCCATAGTCGTTAAAACACATTGCACAACTAGTCTAGCAAAATCAAAGAAACACAAGCAAATTCTGTAATAAAACTTGGTCAGACTGGGCACAGTGGCTCATGCCTATAACCCCAGCACTTTCAGAGGCTGAGGTGGGTGGATCACTTGAGATCAGGAGTTTGAGACCAGCCTGGCCAACATGATAAAACCCCATCCCTACTAAAAATACAAAAATTAGCCAGGCATGGTGGTGGGCACCTGTAGTCCCAGCTGCCCAGGAGGCTGAGGCAGGAGAATTGCTTGAACCTGGGAGACAGAGGTTGAAAATCAGATGGTTGTAGGTGTGAAGCCTTATTTCTGGACTCTATTCTGTTCCATTGGTCTGTGTATCTGTTTTTGTATTAGTGCCATGCTGTTATTGTTACTGTAGCCCAGTAGTATAGTTTGAAGTCTGGTAACCTGATACCTCCAGCTTTGTTCTTTTTGTGTAGGATTGAACTGGCCCAATCTCTGTTCCCATTGCTGCTGCCTTAGTTCAAGCCCTTTAATTTCTGCAATGGTCAGGTCAGGTTAGTAGTCTTCCTCCAGATTCTTTTCTTTCCCCATACATAGATTCAAACTATTTTCTTTGCCTGGAACACAAATGCTTTCCTGAATATGAATTTAAAGTCACATATTATTATAGTTTTTAGGTATACAGATTTTAGGTATTTTCATGGTTTTCATCAGAAGAACTGTTTGCCAGCAGTGGGAGTGGCACAGGTGGCACCCAGAGATCTCATAGGAGATCAGATCTCTACAGAGCTTTTCTTACACATCCCCCTTCCCTCTGGGGGAAAGAGAGCTGTCAGTCTCTATTCTTTCTTGGCTGGACAACCCAGAGGAAGCCCCAGAGTTGTTCAGGCGCTCATGCTGTCTTTCCAGACTCTACCTCAGCAAGTCATTTGTGTGGGCACCTCCTAGACTGTGTCATTATCAATAACTGCAGCCCCTCTATAATCTCATTTCTAAATGTTCCACATTCTACCCCCCTTCTGTGGTGGACACTGTTGGTGCCTTGCCCAAATCTCTTTATTTTTACCTGGCTGGTGCACACAGTTACCTGATGCTGTGCAATTTGGCTGTTGTCAGTTCATAGCTGACCCTTTCTCTGAAGAATTCTCTCAGCAGACTGGAGCTGTCTTACCCAGGAACACCTAGAATACTATGCTCTACCCCCAGGATAGCCCCTAGTACAGTGACCAACCAGTTTAACTGGAACTCTCCCAGTTTTAGCACTGAGTCTTGTGTCCTAAGAAACTCCTCAGTACTGGATGAAATGGGATGGTCACCCTGGCCCCCAGCCGCTGACTGGCTGGATGGAGGTACATGAGTCTGACCCTGCTTCTACATGGGAAAATTCATGTTCCAGGGCTCCCCCTGGGATCAGGCAAAAGCTATACTTCAGCTGAGACCACCTTTTTGCTTATCCTCTCCTTCTTCCTGCTGCCTTGCTTGTCTCACTTCCTGATGTTTGTCAAGAGAGCATTCCCTCAGTAAATCACTTCTACAGGAATCCCCATCTCCAGCTCTGCTTGCAGGGGATCTTACCTGAGACACTTTCCAATCTTTTCACATCTTTCTCTCTAATACCCTAATAGTCTTTGATCTCCACATGGGTCCATAGTTCATTGATTCTTTCTCTTTCCCTCTCCTGTTCTCCTTCTTAACTCTAATATCTTTTCATTTTCAAATTCCTACCACCTTTTCTTCTGTTTTCATTCTCAGTTAATAGCCTTGCTTCCTGCTTCTCTTTTGAAACATAAAGGTCAGAAAACTATTTCCACAAACTCCTGCCACCACGTTTCCCCTTCACCTACATCTGTGCCCCTTTATCGTCTTCTGTAGATCAGTGCTGTCTCATAGAAGTTTCAGGCATGATGCAAAGGTTCTGTATTACCCTGTCGTGTCACTGGCCACATGTAGTTATTTCACACCTGAAATATGGCTAGTGTGACTTAGGAGCTGAATTTTTTATTTTCCATTGTTTGTTCTCATCTTACTTGATCTGGCACCAACATTTGATGTAGTTAATCCTTCCCTCCTCTTTTAAACACTTTCTTTAGTTGACTTCCAGGATGCCATGTTCCCTTGATAATTTTTTTAATTCCATATTCCTTCTCAGCCTCTTTAGCTGATTTCTCTTCAACTGACTGACTTCTGAATGATGTCAGACCAGGGCTTAACCCTTGGTCCATTGCTGTCTGTTTATTCACTCTTTTGGTGACCTCATATAGTATCTTGGCCTTTTATACTTGGTGACTCCCAAATTTGTATTTGCAGCCTAGACTTTTTACCTGAGCCCCTATCTCCAACTCTTTAATTGATGTCTCAACCTTCTGTCTGTGTACTAGGCATCTTATGCTCAGCATGTCCTACACTTATCTTTTTCTCAAGGCTGCTCTTCCCCCAGATGTCCCTGTCTCAGTTAATGGCCACTCCATTCTTCTGTTTACTTAAGGCAGAAATCTTGGGTCATCTGCGCCGTCTTGTTTCTTCACACCCCATATTAGTATATTTATTAGTTATCTCTCGCTACATAACAAATTACCACAAACTTAGCAGCTTAAAATCATTTGCATTTATTATCACCATTTTGATTGATTAGGAGTCCTCTGTAGTCAAGGTGTCAGCTGGTCTGCATTCTCATCTAGAGGCCTGAGTGAGGAAGAATTCATTTCCAAGCTCGCTCAGGTTGCTGGCAGAGTCAATTTCCTTGTGGTTATAAAACTGAGGGTCCCAGCTTTCTGCTGGCTATTGACTTGAGGCTGTCCTCAATTTACGGAGGCTGCCTTCAGCTCCTAGAGCTTACCTGAGTTCCTAGAGGCCACCTAGTTTCTTGTCAGCTGGACTTCACCAGTATAGCTGCTTACTTCATCAGGCTGCAAGGAGAGTCTCTAGACTGAGTCTGCTAGCAGGATGGATGTCACAGAAATGATATCCTATCATCTTTGCCATATTCTGTTGGTTAAAAGCAAGTCATAGATCCTGTTTGCCTCCTAGGGGAGGGGATTATACATGGGTATGAATACCAGGAGGTGGAGATCATGAGGACTACCCCAGTGTCTGTCTGACACAATAGGTCAAATCTTGTTAGCTCTACCTTTAGAATCTATCCCAAATCTGATCACCTCTAGTGCTGCCACCATGAGAAGAGAAGGTGAAATTAAAGGCATGAAAGTGATTATGCCTTCTGCTGTTATACTAGATGTTATGAAAGGCGCATATTTGCCATTACGTGATTTTTACCCTAACATCCTCCCTCTCTCTTGACGCAAGAAATCTGGGAGTCTTTAGATATTTCCGTATGTTCTCCTCCTCATACCATAATTTCATATTAAGTGCCCTCAACTCTGTCACCAAATACATGTCATATTTATTCTTTTATCTTTATGTACAGCCTGTTATTATCTCTTACTTAGTCTTCAGCAGTAGATTTCTATCAAATCTGTTCATTTCCATTTATTCCTATTAATCAAATTGCTAAACATGAACTGGGGTGCCATTTAACAACGTAAATAGTATCATTTACTACCTTCTTAAAACCCATCAGTGTCTTACCTTTGGACTTAATGGCCCTGCATGATGTGACCACTGTTTACCTTCCCAGACTCAGTCTTTTCCTATCCTGCCATCATTCACAGCACTTCTGCTCCACCAGCCTGCTTTCTTACCCGAAACGTACAGTGTACATCATTACCTTAAGAGCCTGTGTGTTTGCCATTCCCTTGGTCTAGACTGTTCCTGCTATTGCGCCTCAGGGCTGGTGTCTTCTCACCCTTTAGATCTCAGTGTGGTTATCCCACAGAGAGATCATCTCTGACCATCCAGTTCAGACATTTCTCCCTTTTGTTCTTTTTTATAGTCCTCATTTTCTTTATGGCATTGTTCGTGATTTTTAGTTATGTCAGTGCACGCTGTTGTACTTGCTCATTGTCTGCCTTTGTGAAGTTCTTCAAGGTTAGGGACCTTGTTTACTCACTGCACTCAGAGCTTAGCTCATAGAAGGTACTCAGATAAGTATTTATCAAATAAACGGGAGAGTAAATGATTTATTTCCTTCACAAACATCTGTTCCTGGAAATATTAATATCATCTATTACTTTTTTTTGACTGACATACTTCATGAGCCACATTGTTTTTTGGATCATAAATTTTTTTTCCTACTTGATCAAAACATGATTTTCTACAGCTTTATTGGTTTCATGTAAATATTAGCGTAGTTCCAAATAATGAACTTTCATGAAAAGTTAATTTAGTGATTCATTTTAGAAGTAGTGTTTGTGGAACTTAGATAACAGATTTTTATTTATTTTTTTTTTTTTGAGACGGAGTCTTGCTCTGAAGCCCAGGCTGGACGACAGATTGTGTGGCACAATCTTGGCTCACTGCAAGCTCTGCCTCCTGGGTTCACACCATTCTCCTGCCTCAGCCTCCTGAGTAGCTCGGACCGCAGGCACCTGTCACCACGCCTGGCTAATTTTTTGTATTTTTAGTAGAGTTGGTGTTTCGTCGTGTTAGCCAGGGTGGTCTCAATCTCCTGACCTCGTGATCCGCCTGCCTCGGCCTCCCAAAGTGCTGGGATTACAGTCGTGAGCCACTGTGCCCGGCCAGATTACAGATTTTATAGTCATTTATACTCTTACATGAAAGTATTTTAGGAATTGCTCTTACTGTCCATTTTCCTCACAGTCCTGTTGATGCAAAACTTTTTAATTGCATTAAAAAGCAGTTCCCATTTTGTTACCCAATGGTCCTCTTGTGAAATAAGTGGTCTTGGTCCCCTGGATTAAGATTGGCAGTTGAAACTTTATTACCAAATTTCTTTCTCTTGAGCAGAAGAGAGTTTTTTTTTTTCTTAAGTTTAAAAAAATAATAATAAATCGATCAGCGGTCAACCAAATAAGCAAAATAACATCACCGAATCCAATAAATGTGAAAGCAGACTCATGGAACACCAAGTGTGACCTGACCTCTTACATACCCCACGGAAACCACACTGGGGGAGATTCTGATAATTCTCAGTGATAGCCCAAAATCTAGAAGGGAGCAAACTGAGTGAGCATTACTGTTTTTGACTGTAACTAAAGAGTAGGAGACATAGTTGCTGGGGAGCATTAGGTGAAAAGGGGAGAAATTGACCAAGTGGCTGATTCCCTACCCAGAACTCAGGGCTTCTATTATAATTAGAATATGATCTGAGCACTGTGGTAGATCACAAACAAAATTTCAGAGGAGAGGAGAGTCTGGGTATTTTATTCTAACTGGCTGCACACCCTCTCATCTGAGCCCCAACATTTCCTTAGACTTCAGAAGAATAGATAGAACATAAAATACCAGCCCTCACACTAAAGCTATGGAAAGGATGGAAATTCGATAAACTTGTCTTAGATACAGTGGGAACAGAATTAAGAAATCACCCACACTTTGCAAATAAAATGTCTGGAGAGCTGTGTCTAACCTCAAACAAGATGAAAGAAGTGGCATCGTAGCTAGTGCAAATATTCTATGATGAAAAAATAAAGAGGAAGAAAGACTGCAGCCTGTAAAATCTAACAAGAACCCATCATGGAAGAAAAGCAGCTTCAAGGAGTAGAAGGAGATTCCTTCCAACTGCTTCGTGCTGCAGATCAACTTAATGAGAATTTGAATTCAGAAAAACAAGCTAGAAGACAAGAAGATGATAGTAACAGAAGAATTGGGAGGTTGTAGGCCTAAAGAAATACGAATAAATTAGACATAGCAAAAATTAGAATGAAAATTTAATTACTGACAGATTGAGATAATTGTGTAATACATTGGGAAAAAAAAACAGAAAAGCAAAAACACATGAAGGACAGAAGGTGATCAAATAGAACTATAATTGCTGTCACTGAAGAAAAGAACCTAACACACGTAACAGATGGGTTGAAACAGCACAAGGCGTTTCAGAAAAATTCTATAGTTTCTCAATGACAAAACCTGATTTGATCAAGTTATTGAACTTTTTGTGCTTGGAGTGTATCCAAGAAAAATAAAGTCATTGAACTTTTGGAATAAGGGACAAATTATTATTTGGGAAGCCTCAGGTAGTTTTGTGCCATCTGCTGGCTGGGGTCATGTCTAGTCTCCACAGAGCCTTTGCCTTGGTCTTTAGGTGGCCCAATTGGGTTTCCAGTCTGTTATGGAGTTTGAAACCTGTACCCTGTGGTACATGATGGTCATTGGCTTGCCACCCATCCTAGAGGGGTCGAGGGAGGTGCTGTCACTCTATGGAAGACATCTTTTTCTGAATTCCTGGAGTCTGTCTTTGTTATCTTGGATTCAGTTCCCAGAAGGAGCATTTATCTGGTACTTGGAATTTATGTTTTATTGCATCAGTATTATTGTTCTTGTCTTATTTTTTTTTCTCTGTGTTAAGACATGATTAACATGTTGTTTAAGTGTCTTTGGCAGTTCACCTTAGCCAGATTTTGGGGACCTGCCAGCACCTAAGTGTCTCTGACAAGCTCTTGGTCTGACTTGTTGACAGAAGAGGAACAAAATACATTAAGAGACAGATTGGGCACTCTCTGTGCCGTTTGACAGAAATGTGGAGACCTGTTTCTGTGCTTCCTCTGTTTCTTTCCTTTCTTTTAAACTTACAGAAATAAGCCTCTGGCTTGAACGTAAGGTCTATATGTGTAGTCGGAAGCTATATGAGTCCTCGGGAATCACCTTTCATAGCCAGAATTCCACAGAAGCTTTGCAGTGGTATGCAGTCCATTTTATAAAAACATATTCCTGGATGGAATTATTTCTATTTGAAGTAAAATACAATATCATGTCATAAAAAAATAGAGGTTGCGGGTAGGCAGAGAAGAAGAGAGAATGAGAATGATTCACACTTCTTCAGGCTTCCAGGCAGAAAAGCACACCATGAAAAAAGAGGGAAATAAGCTGGCCACAGACTTCTCCATAGCAACATTTTCAATACCAGCAGTGTTCAAGGGAGCAACATCTGCAAGGTTCTGGAGGAAAAAAAGGATGGTCCAAGAATAGTATGCCCAGCCAAGGTGTCATTCTGCTGTAAACCTGGAAGGTGGATATTCTCAAACAGGAGTGAATTCAGGGAAAGAGTACTATGAGCTCTACTTAAACAAAACAAAACAAAACAAAAACCCACTTGACAGTGAAATCCAGAGGAGAATTGAAGAGCTCAAGAAAGAGAGGTTGTGGTAAAGGGACTGTGAGGAGATTGATTCAGCTAAAATTCAGGACTAAGTAACTGTGGAATTACTTTTCCTGATTGTAGTGCAAATGTTAAGGACCTGGACATTATAAAAATTTTATAATAAAAATTTGAAGAAGAAATGAGAGGAAATGTGAGTGCTAAGATTTTTCAACTTTTAAAGCAAGAAGTTAGTGAATTCTGTACAAAAATAAATTGCATATAACTTTAAATTCAACCTCTAAATAATTTTTCATGTATTTTTAAGTGTGTAATATTCCAAACATATGTAAAATAGTTGGTGCCAATTTATATGCAATTCATATTTAATAGTTGTCACCATTTGTTATATTTGCTTCAGATCGTGTATAAAATATTTAAGATAAAAAAAGGCTTAGAGAAAATTAACACCAATGGATTCACCACCAGGTTAGAAAATAAAACACTGCTAACACAGTTGAAGTCCCTTGCATGTCCCTCCAAAGTCCCAGAGATAACCTGTATCCTGATTTTGGTATCAGTTGTTCATACTTCCATACGTATGTTATACTTTACATATATGTTATACATTATATATATATGAAAGTATAGTATAATTAATAAATTTTCTGTTTTTAGTCTTTATAGAAACAATGTTTTGCAGTGTGCTATTTCAGCTTAACATTGTTTTGAGATTTATGTTGACATATGTTGCTGGAGTATATTTTTCGTTCTGTATACTTATTCTTTATGTTATCTATCTGTGTATATTACCATTTATTTGTTGATTTTCAATGGATGGACATTTATTTGTATTCCTTTTTTGCTATTGTGACAAACTTTCTTATACCTTTGTGCATATATATGATAATGTTTTTCAAAATGTTTTAAGTACTTGGAATATCCAGGTAAACTTTTATAGAAAAGAAATATTTACTTAAGGTATAGCAATATCATTTGTTTCTTTTTGGTTTATTTTTTTCTATTTTATGAAAATAATTAAAATTAACACTTTATTAACATCCTCTTATATGCATAGAAAGATGTCTGGAATGATGTTTACTTAATGTTAATGGTATTTATTTCTAGATCATGGAATGTGGGAACTTTTTAAAAAACTTTTGGCTCTTTATTCTTTGTATTGGTTACATTCTTTATAATGAACATGTATGCTTTTTATAAAAACAGTAGAGTTTTTCTCAAAAGCAAAAACTCAAAAGTGAGTGCTTTAAGACATTGAATGTGATTATTCAATAATGCATGAATAAGTATAAATTGCATGGCAGGATTATAAATTATTTTCTTTTTGGCATTTTTGTATTTTAAGGTCTTTATATTCATAGTACAGGTGAAATGCTATAATGGTATTCTGGCTTTTGAAAATGTATTTTTAGTCAATTATATAAAGAAAAGGAAAGATTAGTAATTTTCTTTTACTTATCATTCCTTTTTTGGTACCTGTCTTCAGTTTCTCATGATTAAATAAAAGTTATTGTAATAAAATTTTGAGTCCCTTGAGTACAGTGCAACCTTTAAATGATTTAGACTGTTTATAGAAGAGGTTTTCAGGAAGTGCTAGAACCTTCCAGTAGGTTTCTGTTCCTTTCTTTTCCCAGGATTTCATAGTCTAGCTCCTTTTCCCGAGTTATCACTTGTCCAGTGGGCCCAGGTGTCAGGTTTATTTGTGAAGGTGACAGGTGCCCCCCTATATCCATGGTAGATTTAGTGAGCATCTCCAAAGTGGATTATATCACAAATAAAATAGTATAAGATGTTCTGTCTTATTAGTTGGGTGAAAATATGATCTGTTTGTTTTGTAGGTATGACCTTGCTTCTAGGGAGTGGCTTCCACTAAACCGTTCTGTGAACAATGTGGTTGTTAGATATGGTCATTCTTTGGCATTATACAAGGTAAAGTATTTCCACTCTGTGCTAAGCAAGAAACTAAGTTTTCCTCAGTTACTTCACGTATTACATAGTTGAAAAGCTACCTCAGTTTTGGTTTTTAATTGGAGACAACTTTTTGTTTGGGGGCATTATAAAATTGCCTAAGTTATAAGTAGAAATTAAAATGGAAACTTTTTTAACTCAAGAGATTCTAATGGTTTCAAACTGTAATGGGGTATTATAATTATGGCACTAAATGGTTAAAGATGTAGATTAAAAAGTGTAGATTAGCTTTTATTCTCATAAGCAAGTTAGCCAAGAATAGTTACATTGTAATGTGGCTGAATAAACATTTTCATTTCCTCATTTTTGTAGATAGATGGTAGGATGAGGCAACTTTATTTTTCAAGTCCTTTTATACTGTAAAAGATTCATGTGAGGAAGTCCAAGAAAACTGGTGAAGTATTAGAGATGTAAAATATGATTAGTTTTATTTCCCTTTTTCCTTTTTTTATCCTTTTCCTAGTAATTCACTGAAAGGTGCCTTTGCTAACCCTTAAAATTTTTTTAATTTATTTTTTATTGAGGTAAAATATACATATATAATGGTACCATCTTTACCATTTTTAAGTGTACAGTTTGGTGGTAATAAATACATTTACATTCTTTTTTTCCTTCTTCATTCTCCCCCACCAGCCTGCCAGCCTCTGGTAACCACTAATCTATTCTCCATCTTCATGAGATCCACTTTTTTAGCTCCCACATATGATTAATAATGTGATATTTATCTCTCTGTGCTTGGCTTATTTTACTTAACATAATGACCTCCAGTTCAATCCATGTTGCTACAAAATGACTGGATGTCATTCTTTTTAACGGCTGAATAATGCTCCATTGTGTATATATACACCACATTTTCTTTATCTAATTATTCATTGATAGACACTTACATTGATTCCATGTTTTGGCTATTATGAATTGCGCTACAGTTAACATAAGAGTGCAGATATCTCTTTGGTATGTTCATTTCCATTCTTTTGGATATATACCCAATATTGAAATTGTTGGATCATAGGGTAGTTCTATTTTTAGTTTCTTTACTAACCTTTTTTAAGCTGAAAGTAATATTGAGCTTTTGTTCTTCTCTGTTCTCAGATTTAATCTTTTCAGTGTTTTTTAAAATTTTGTTTGCATTTTTTTCCTAGGATAAAATTTACATGTATGGAGGAAAAATTGATTCAACTGGGAATGTGACCAATGAGTTGAGAGTTTTTCACATTCATAATGAGTCATGGGTATTGTTGACTCCTAAGGCAAAGGAGCAGTATGCAGTGGTTGGGCACTCCTCACACATTGTTACGCTGAAGAATGGCCGAGTGGTCATGCTGGTCATCTTTGGTCACTGCCCTCTCTATGGATATATAAGTAATGTGCAGGAATATGATTTGGGTAGGTATATTTTTTCTAGTAGATGCCTTTTGAACATCAGATTCAAAACCCCTAAGCTTATTATTTTGACTGTTTAGAAAGGTTCAACCTCATATTGATTCAGTACTTTATCTTGAAACATAGTTAACACTGGGCCCGGGCGTGGTGACTCATGCCTGTAATCCCAGCACTTTGGGAGGCTGAGGTGGGCGGATCACCTTAGGTCAGGAGTTCAAGGCCAGCCTGGCACCAACATGGTGAAACCCCGTCTGTACTAAAAATACAAAATTTAGCCCAGCATGGTGGCGGGCACCTATAATCCCAGCTACTCAGGAGGATGAGGCAGGAGAATCGCTTGAACCCGGGAAGTGGAGGTTGCAGTGAGCCAAGATTGCACCACTGCACTCCAGCCTTAGGGAGAGAGTGAGCCTCTGTCTCAAAACAAACAAACAAACAAACAAAAACCAATATAGTTAACATTGATGTATTACCAGTGAAATACAGATTATTGATACTCCTATGTAGTATGTGTTTTTTACTGTCAGTTTGGTAAGGAGCCAAAGATGACCCAAAGTACTCTGGGTATTTAAAATAAATAAAAAGAAAATGGTTCAAAACAACAAATATTGAAGAAAAAAAGTATTTGCCTAGCCTTTTAGAGATTGGTTTAGTGGAGTATGATTTACCCTTAATATAAAATATTTCCTTTGGTTAAATTTCATTGTATCTGTTGTTGTGCAGTAGGAATACCAGGTATAATTAACATTTTGTGAAAAGTAGGCCTATAAAATATATCTGTATATTGGTCACCAAAGGTTATAGGGAATTAAATGTTCATTTGAGTGGAATCTGATCTTTTTATTTTATGTATTGAGACAAGACCTCACTCTCTCACACAGGCTGGAGTGCAGTGGCACAATCATAGCTCACTGCAGCCTTGATGCCCTGTCCTCAAGTGATCCTCCCACCTTAGCCTCCCTAGTAGCTGGGACTACAGGTGCGTGCCACCACTCCTGGCTAATTTTTTAATTTTAGTAGAGATGGGATCTTACTATGTTGCCCAGGCTGGCCAACATAGCAGGCTTCAAGTGATCCTCCCACCTTAGCCTCCCAAAGTGCTGGGATTATACATGTGAGCCACTTTGCCTGGCCCTGAGTGTTTTAAATTTAGTTAATTCTTTTCTTACATGGCATATTAGAACATCAGAACATAGAACAGACTGGAATTAGTTCACATGGCTTTGTTACAAGTTTAGGTGACTTTCTTTAAAATATAAAGATAAAAAAGTATATGTATTAGGTCTCCTGAAATCCCTTCTAATGCCCTAAGCGCTTTGGACATTTTCAGTAGTAGAGAGGAGGAGCCTGCCATGCTTGCCTTTAACTGTTTTTCCTTTCCAGATAAGAACACGTGGAGTATATTACACACCCAGGGTGCCCTTGTGCAAGGGGGTTACGGCCATAGCAGTGTTTATGACCACAGGACCAGGGCCCTGTATGTTCATGGTGGCTACAAGGCTTTCAGTGCCAATAAGTACCGGCTTGCAGATGATCTCTACCGATATCATGTGGATACCCAGATGTGGTGGGTACTTTTTCTTGAGCTTTCACTTTTAGGTGTAAATTCTGTAGAGGCAGTTGTTGAGAAAATATTGTGCTATCTTTTTGTTTTTATGCCTGGCAGTTAATTCTGTTCAGCATTGTATATAGAGAAATTGGGAAATAAACAGAGGGTAATAAAGTAGCTAGTATTTGTTTTGTTGCATTATTCTGTAATTCTGTAGTAGGTTGGTTAGAAAATGCTTAGAGTTTTTTTTAACAAATATAAAGCAAATTTGAGTTATGAAATAATGTAATTATAAAGCGATGGTTTCTCTTCTTTTTCCTCACCTATTTGATACCCTGCTATGGATACTGTTTTATATTGTCATAAAAATTATCATTTTGAGTAGCTGTGGAATACTCCATTTTGTGGGTATGCTGAGACTGTGCAGGTGAAAGTTTTGGTTTCCTTCTAGTTTTTATGTTATTAAGAAACCATTATGCATTAAGCTTCTGTCAATATTTCACATGATTTCTGCCCAGAAACTAGAATTATATAGCTACAGAGTATGAAGAGTTTAAGGTTCTTAATATTTGCCAAAATTCTTACAGGTCTTTAAAATTATATATATTTATTGTTGAAAAAGTTACTTATATGTAGGGAAAAATCTGGAAGGATTTGTACCTTTGGGTCTGAGGTTAATAAAGTGGTTGTGCTTGCATTAGCAGATACATAAATATTCTTTAAAAACTAACCTTGTATTTATTATTTCTAAATAAACTCAAAAGGACCATTCTTAAGGACAGCCGATTTTTCCGTTACTTGCACACAGCTGTGATAGTGAGTGGAACCATGCTAGTATTTGGAGGAAACACACACAATGACACATCTATGAGCCATGGTGCCAAATGCTTCTCTTCAGATTTCATGGCCTATGACATTGGTAAGTTTCCCAAAACCATTTTAGCTTCAGGCATCTTTTTGTCTATAAGCAACATTTAAAAGGAGACTGAAAATATTGCCAGTTAAAAATGGTCAGGCCTGGCTAACCCGGTGAAACCCCGTCTCTACTAAAAAATACAAAAAACTTGCCGGGCGAGGTGGCGGGCGCCTGTAGTCCCAGCTACTCGGGAGGCTGAGGCAGGAGAATGGCGTAAACCCGGGAGGCGGAGCTTGCAGTGAGCCGAGATGAGATCCGGCCACTGCACTCCAGCCTGGGCGACAAAGCGAGACTCCGTCTCAAAAAAAAAAAAAAAAGGTCAGGCCATTTGAAAGAGGTCCAAATGGTATTTTTTATATTCCTTTGACTAATGTTACATATCTGATAAAAATTATTTCTACATTAAATTCTTTTTGAAATAACTCCTGTTAATTGCTTGAATGCTAATTTTTGAGGCTGAATTAAGGTGTCTAGTCTCTCCTTTGTAATGTTATGCCTACCTGGTAGTGTTACATAGTTGCAACCACCAGCATTGTGTTAAAATTGGTTCACTTACTAGCTTTATCTCATTCCCTAGAAAACTGGTTTCTCACGTGGTCTTGGTGTAGCAATATACTAGACCGGAAGAGGGCAGTATTTGTTCATGCAAAGCAAATGCATACTGGATGATTTCTTTCATAAAAATCATCAGATGTTCATTTTAAACAAAGCATTATTTTTTTGCTTGTGGTAAAATACACATAAAATTTACCATCCTAACTATATTTAAATGTCTAGTTTAGTGATATTAAACACATTCATAATGTTATAAATCCATCACTGCCGTCCATCTTCAGAACTTTTCTTCATCTTGTGAGACTGAAGCTCTATACCCATTAAACAATAATGTCCCATTTCTTCCTCCCCACAATGCCTGGCAACCACTATTCTACAGTCTGTCTCTGTGATTTTGACTATTCCAAGTTAGACATTTGTTTTTAACAGACATTTGTGTGCCAGCCACTCAGTTTGTACATTGAGAAGATCAGATGAATAACTTAAAGCCCTTAGCCTCAAAGTGGAAGAGGTAGAGAAATGAGCAGACAATAGAATTACACTTCAGGGTATTTCTGGCTGAAAAGAATGTATGAGAGCACCTCTGAGTACCCTTTAAGTCATGGAGGGTAAGAGTGATGATAAACAGGGAACACTTTCTTGAAGAGGGGCCATCCCCTCTGGATCCTTGGGGACACTAGGTGTCAAGTAGGTGAAGTTAGGCAGCACTCGCCGGTCAGAGGAAACCCACTTTGCAGAGACACAGAGATAGAAAAGACCAGCACATATTTAGGGCTTAGAGAGTGAGACACTGAGTGTGAGGTTGGCATGGTATAGCAGCACCAGTTGGTATTAGATCCAGAAGAGATGTTGCTAGTATGGGTCACAACAGAGGAAAATTAATCAATCTAGGGCATCTAGGAAAGGACTATTAAAAATTAGATAACATTTAAATTTTTGAAATTTTGTTTTCCACCTGTATTTTTCCATTTTATTTACTAAATTTGGGCAAATCAATATAGAAAAGAGTGGAAAATAGTTATGAAACCCATATGTTTTGCTGATACAAGCTTTGTAGAATGTAAAGTTTGCTTGCTTTAAAAAACATTCTTGGCCGGGCGTGGTGGCTCACGTCTGTAATCCCAGCACTTTGGGAGGCCAAGGTGGGCAGATCACGAGGTCGGGAGATTGAGACCATCCTGGCTAACGCGGTGAAACCCCGTCTCTACTAAAAATACAAAAAATTAGCCGGGCATGGTGGCAGGCACCTGTAGTCCCAGCTATTTGGGAGGCTGAGGCAGGAGAATGGCGTGAACCTGGGAGGTGGAGCTTGCAGTGAGCCGAGATCACACAACTGCATTCCAGCCTGGGCAACAGAGCAAGACTCTGTCTAAAAAAATAAATAAATAAAAAATAAACAGCAACAACATTCTAGTGGATCAGACTGATAGGCAATTGGGTGAGTGATCCATATGTCATGGGTTTTGGGTGCGTTTGCTAGTCAGAATTGCGGTGTGATCCCGCCTTTCTTCCATGCCTCGTTGCTCTGCTGCTGCTGCATTTTAACCCAGAAATGACGTAACTGAGAAAATTGAGAGGCATGTTTTATGAGGTTCTCTTTGTTGTAGTATTCTTCCCAAAGAAAATGTCAGGTCCTATTGATTAGAAATGGTAGTCCCTTTTAAAATATATTTTTCTTTCTCCTAGCCTGTGACCGCTGGTCAGTGCTTCCCAGACCTGATCTCCACCATGATGTCAACAGATTTGGCCATTCAGCAGTCTTACACAACAGGTAATTGGAGAAGTATTGCTCCTTTTCTTTTGTGTTTAAAATGAAAATAAAGGGCAGGGCACAGTGGCTCACGCCTGTAATTCCAACACTTTGGGAGGCCGAGGCGAGTGGGAATACGAGGTCAGGAGATCGAGACCGTCCTGGCCAACATGGTTAAACCCCATCTTTACTAAAAATACAAAAATTAGCTGGGCTTGGTAGTACGTGTCTGTAATCCCCCCTACTTGGGAGGCTGAGGCAGGAGATGACTTGAACCAGGAATCCTGAGGCAGAAGAATCGCTTGAACCAGGGAGTCAGAGGTTTCAGTGAGACGAGATCACACCACAGCACTCTAGCCTGGCAACAGGGCAAGACTACATCTCAAAAAAAAAAAAAGAAAAGAAAAAAGAAAATGAAGTAAAGTGGAATTGGACGTAACATATTATTCACAAGATTCCCTCATCCCAGTAGTTTTTTTACAGGATTATGTGGGTATAAATATTCTGATTGATGTTTAAAATATTTGATGTGGAGGTGAATTACGTTGAATGCCATGTTTGTTGATCTGGTTTTGTTAGCACGCAAGAGCACGCTTTTTGGTGTGGTCTGAGTGCCTGGGCAACAAAAGTTACGTGCATGTCCTTGTCTTATGTCCTTTGTTATCATTTGTGGTACTCAAGTTTCTAGTAGTTGTATCTGAATTGTAAGGAGTTTGGAAAAGGGGAGAGAGGGCGCTTCAGATGGGGGATAAGATAGGAGAACAGAGGTGGGGAGATTGTGAAGCTTAATGTAGATCAAGTCTGTAAGCTCTGGATAATCAGAAGTCTGCAGTTCATTGCATTGTATTGCTCAAAAATGCCTGGCCCAAACTACCAGAGCTCTTAAAAAAATCGGCCCTTGGAGAAGTCTCAGTCAAATAAGGGAGATTCAGAGTGGCCACTCTACTTGCTCCTTACAGTGTGCTTTAGAGATTTTTGAGAAGTTAAACAGCCTAATCATGTTATTAATTTTTCTCATTCAGTTTCTGCTGTTATTACTGCTGTCTGCTTTCCCTTTTAAAATTCTAAGCCATATAAATCCTAAGGATGTTTAAGTGTTAGAATGCCTGTATCATCTCAGAATTCCTTTGGCTTTTGAAATTTCTGTTGTAATGATGAAAGACGGATGAGGAAGGTAATTTAACTTAGATTAGGAAAGATGAGAGGCCAGGCACGGTGGCTCATGCCTGTAATCCCAGCACTTTGGGAGGCCAAGGAGGGCAGATCACTGGAGCCCAGGAGTTCAAGACCACCCTAGCAACAGCATGGCAAAACCCCTGTCTCTACTAAAAATACAAAAAAATTAGCCAGGCGTGGTGGCAGGCGCCTGTAGTCCCAACTACTCGGGAGGCTGAGGCAGGAGAATCACTTGAACCCAGGAGGTGGAGATTGCAGTGAGCCGAGATTATGCCACTGCATTCCAGCCTGCGTGACAGCAAGACTGTCTCAAAAAAAAAAAAAGGAAAGGTGAGAAAGTGACATATTTTGGAGATGTTGTGAAGGAATAGTTGACACAATTTAGGAACTAGCTACTAGGAAAAGGTGCTATCTTTTATAAGGTAATTATTTAGTTTTTTAGCAATGTGTATGGTTTTACTGTGAGAACATTTGACAGAGACTAAAATGGAAGGATTTCTGGCCACCTTGCTAATTTGATGTGTTATTATAAATCATAATCTGGAATTTCCTCAGTACAGAAGACCCTTAAACCTTTCTAGCAAGTGCCTCTTGAGATTTTCATCTGGAATGCAGTGGGACCATTTTGTCATTATGCCTGCGGGAGCCTGGCCTCAACTGTCTTCGTTTGTGTTCCTAGTTCTCCTAGCACAGGATTTGGCACGTAATAGACATTTGCTAAATTGCAGGTATTAGTACAGTAATAACTAGCAAACAAATGAATCTTTTATAAAACATTCTTAGGTTTTATTCAAACTCAGAGTAAGTTGAGACTTTACTATAAAATATAATTTAACCATGAGTCAAAATTGGGAATACCTTGCCTGAGTTGTAATTTTTTTTTTTAATGTGATTCCAGTGGTATGTTTGAACTCTGATATGTAAGTATCTGTGTGTTAAGATACGATTGGGTAGGTGGCAGGGGACCCTGAGGGAGGCCAGCTACTAAAAGGCCATAGTTTTGGTTTAATTTTATGAAATAATTTAATGAAAAAGGAACTTTGATTCACATCATTTCTTCATGCTTTAAGTGAGTAAACAGCATTGAGTGAGCTGTGCCTTCCTTAGTTGTCATTGAGGTTTTGAGGGAGGCAGGAAGGAGGAGGAGAGATAGCTGTGATGCACCAGGGTGGCAGGAGATGCAGCTGTGCCTCTCAGTTGCCTGCTCCATGTGTCTCTGAGGGACTCTCCCTAACTTTGCAGAGCCCCTGTGCAACCAGATGGATTCACAATTGCTGAGAACACCAACTGTACTGGGAAGAGGAGGTTGCTTATTTGGTTTAAGCAACAAATTAACTAGTTGAATCTAGCCTGCTTAATGTGGTACTGAGTAAGCCGATAGCAAGGGTAAAAGTGAAACCTGGCGGGCACGGTGGCTCAAGCTTGTAATCCCGGCACTTTGGGAGGCCGAGATGGGCGGATCATGAGGTCAGGAGATTGAGACCATCCTGGCTAACACGATGAAACCCCGTCTCTACTAAAAATACAAAAAAATTAGCCGGGCGTGGTGGCAGGCACCTGTAGTCCCAGCTTCTCGGGAATCTGAGGCAGGAGAATGGTGTGAACCCAGGAGGCGAAGCTTGCAGTGAGCCGAGATCATGCCGCGAGCCTGTTATCCCAGCAGTTTGGGAGGCCAAGGCCAGAGGATGGCTTGAGCCCAGGAGTTTGAGGCTGCAGTGAGCTGTGATGGCGCCACTGCACTCCAGCCTGGGTGACAGAGTGAGACCCTAACTCAAAAAATATATATTTCAGATTGCAATTTATTTTCATTATTCACAACTCTATAAAGTAACTATACACACTGAATTCTTGAATATTGAATTATTTCTGCTAGGGAAATACAGGGTTATGTTTCTGTAAGCCTCTGATGACGACATTTTCATCAACCAGTCAGCATACGTAACTTTCTTTTTTGTGTGTTTCTATTTAAAAACATCTTATTTAATATATATTCTTGATTTATTAACATTGAGCTCACAGCCAACAGCACTTTAACTCATGCCTGAACAAAGCTTATGTAACACATGTACTTTCTCAGTAAGGCTCATCACAGCCTTTTTACACTTAGGAACACTAGACAGCACTTCAGCACTGCATAGGGGCCCATTTTCAACAGTGAAAGCACTAACACAAGGTACAAAAATACATAAAATATGGCACTAGATAGATCATGGAAGGGACACTTGTTTGTAGTGTGAGAGTTGAAACAAGAAGGGAGAGCATCTCCTTGTTTGACCTTAGCCGGGACTATGCATGTGTGTCAAGTCCAATTTTTTGCCATTCTTTGCACACACATGCTGGTAAATGACCGTGAAACTACTGCAAGTATTGATTTTGGAGTTAGAAATAAATTTTGTAAGTAGGTGAATTTGCAAATATGGAATCTACAATCTGCAGATAATGGTCATGCATCGCTGAATGTTAGGGATACGTTCTGAGAAATGCATCCGTAGGCAATTTCATCATTGTGCCAACATCACAGAGTGTACTTACATAAACCTAGGCTACACATCTAGGCTATATGGTATGGCTTGTTGCTCCTAGCTACAAGCCTGTGCAGCATGTTACTATACTGAATACTGTAGGTCATTGTAATGCAGTGGTAAGTATTTGTGTGTCCAAGCATATCTAAATGTAGAGAAGTACAGTAAAAATGCAATATGAAAGATAAAAAAATGTACACCTGTACAGGCCACTTACCATGGCCTGTAAGGGAGGGAGCATGCAGGACTGGAAGTTGTTCTGGGGAGGTCCGTGAGTGAGTGGACTCAACACTACTGTATACTTTGTAAACACTGTACACTTAGACTACACTAAATTTATTTAAAAATTGTTTTCTTCAATAATAAATTAACCTTAGCTTACTAGATGACAGCCATTGTACATGCCATCCATCATTGATGGAAACACCATTATCCAGCACCACGTGACTATAATGAGGATTGGCTGTCTTTTAAAGATGAAGACTTAATTTTAAAAACACAGCCCCTATACAGTTATCACACTTTTAAAGTTAATTCTTTAAGCCAGGGGTGGTGGCTCACGCCTGTAATCCCAGCACTTCGGGAGGCCAAGGCAGGAGGATTGCTTGAGTCCAGGAGTTCAACACCTGCCTGGGCAGCACAGCAAGACCTCATTTCTACTAGAAATACAAAAATTAGCTGGGCATGGTGGTGCGCGCCTGCCTGTTGTCCCAACTACTCAGGAGGTTGAGGTGGGAGGATTACTTGAGCCCACGAATTTGAGGTCGCACTGAGCTATGATGGTGCCATTGCACTCCAGCCTGGGTAACAGAGCAAGACTCCAACTCGAAAAAAAAAAAGAAAAAAGTTGTTCTTTAATATCTCTCAGTGTCCATTCAGTGTTTACATCTCCTAATTGTCTCAATTTTTTTTTAAGTTTAGTTCATTCAACTCAGAATCCAGATGAGATCCATATGTTACAATTGGTTAAAATGTCTCTGTAGTTTCTCTTAATCTGTAGGGACCCCATCCATCATTGTCCCCCTTACTTGTTAAAGAGACTGGGTTGTTTGTCCTGTAGAGTTTCCCATAGTCCAGATTTTGATTGTTGTATTCTGGGCTTTCATATAACATATTGTTCTCTCTCCTAAAATTGCTGCAAATTAACTTGATCAGATTCTCTTCAGTATTTTGGCAAGATCACTTCATAGGTTTCTTTCCCTTTGTTTACCAATTTTCAAAATAATGTACTGATTTCTTAGCATTGTCCAAAGATGACAAATTAGGTTTGTTTTTTTTTTTTTTCAGGGATGAGAGATGTGTATCATTATGAACTCATGGATTTAAAAATATTTCATGTGTTTTAATCTATTGTAGTTTGTGTTTTTATTAAATTTCAAACATTTTCTATCTTTAGCCGATGAGGGCATCTTTACATTAGCTTTTGAGTTTATCTGATACTACCCTAGTCTTCTTTTCTTTCCAGTATAACAAGATCTGCTGGACTCATTGTGAACATTTCTTCATCCAGACATGAAATTAGGTTTTTCTCTAAAAAGTTCTAGTATTTAAGGGGTGACAGGAGGGAGAAAGAACGGTTTTTAGATACGCGCAATCTAAGCACTAGTTGTATTCATTGCTACTGGGTTGGCTATTGTTTCTAGGTTTTTTAAAAAGGCAGGTTAAAGAGAAACTGTAGTGTCCTTTTTTAAAAGGAAAATGAATTATGTCTGCATGTTTGTGTGTTTGACCTTCTTGTTCCCTCAGTAGATAAATGGCTACATTGTTTAAATACTTTTCTCTGCATTCCATTTTCCCCCCACATAACAGTATGTACTGGAGCTCACTCCATAGAAGTATGTAGAAATTTTCCTCATTCCTTTTACATCTGCCTAATATTTCATTATGTGGATGCATTATAGTTTGTCACATCCCCAATTGATGGACATTTGGGGCTATTTGAGTCTTTTGCTATTATCATTAACCCATTTATGCCTGGTGTTCCATTATTGGAAAGCTAAGCTTGTGGGAGTTATTTATATCCTACTGCTCAAGGTCATCCCCAAGGTCTGATTTTTCACAAAAAAAATGTGCCCTCTGGCATAAGTGGTTAGTGCTGTACTGAATAGCCTCATGTACTTCTTCTTGTATTTTTACTGTTCTGTCTTTGTGATAGACTTCTAGAAATGTGATTTCAGATGCATTTGTTAGAAGTAAATGCAAAGTTTTGTTAGAGCTTGCCAAATCTCTCTGTACTGCACCATTTTACATGCCCAGCAGTAGTGTGTGAGAGTGACTGTTGCCCCATAGTCTCACCAATCCATATATTGTCAATTGTTTGTGCTGTTTTTGTTTTGCTAGTCTTACAGGTGAGAAATGCTACCTCAGTATAGTTTTAATTTGCATTTTTCTTGCACTGAAATTAGAGTATCTCCTCATATGTTTAAGGTCATTTGCATTTTTTCTCTGCAAACTGGCTGAAGCCCCCCTCTATGTTAGGGATAGTCCTTTTCCTATAACATAACTTGTAAATCTTTTTTTCATAGCATATCATTTGTTATTTTACTTTGCTTATAGCATTATTTCCATGTAAAACGTCTTTTTAATTCATATAACCAGATTTTCAATCTTTTTTTCCCCTACCTTCTGGATTTTAAGTCTTTTTTTTTTTTTTTCCACTCTCAGGTTATAGAGAAATACACCCATTATTCTAGTACTTGTGTGTTTTGTTTTTTTCAGAAGGTGTGGAATTTATCCTGGAATATAGAGAAATAGATTCAATTTTATTTTTTTCCATATGTTTAGTTATCTTGATACCATTTACTAAAAAGACCACCTTTTCCCACTAATGTAAGATGCCGCTTTTACTGTCTACTAAATGTACATGTGTGCTTTTATCTGTTTATGATTGGGCTCATATCCATGTACCAGTACACAACTTTAATTGTACCAGTATACAACTTTAATTACAGAGGCTTTTACCTGTGCTTTAAATTTGTACATTTTTATTTTTAATATTTAAAAAATGAAGATATAGAATTGCTATTTAGTGTTAAAAGATGTGAGCATATCCTGACACTGAAATTTTCCAGTGACTCATGGTTAAAAGTCACCAGGCTATCATGAGAACTTTTTAATACAGTAGCTATGATGAGGAGGCAGCTTATTGGAACTATTCTGGGTGGTTATAGGCCAGGATGAAAGGATGAATTTGGAAAGGAAGGAAACAAGAATATTTTTTAAGACCTTGAAAAATAGTTTCTTAGAAGACTTATGATATGTAAGATTTGTTTGAAGATTGTCTGTAAAAAGTGTATCATGGTAGCTGGATGTGGTAGCTGGATGTGCCTGTAGTCCCAGCTACTCAGGAGGCTGAGGCGAGAGGATCTCTTGAGCCCAGGAGTTTGAGACCAGCCTAGGCAACAGAGTAAGACCTGTCTCCAAAAAAAAAAAAAAGTATAGCATGCAATTGTTATCTAAGTCTCTGGTAAATTTATTCTCTCCCTTTTTCCTCTTAGCACCATGTATGTGTTCGGTGGTTTCAATAGTCTCCTTCTCAGTGACATCCTGGTATTCACCTCGGAACAGTGTGATGGGCATCGGAGTGAAGCCGCTTGTTTAGCAGCAGGACCTGGTATCCGGTGTGTGTGGGACACAGGGTCATCTCAGTGTATCTCGTGGGCGCTGGCAACTGATGAACAAGAAGAAAAGTTGAAATCAGAATGTTTTTCCAAAAGAAGTATGTTTTTTTTTCCCTGCTTAGATTTTAATGAATTTGAGACCTCATTTTATCTGAATTGTGAAGGAACTTAGCATATGTATACTTTTTATGTTCACCTTATTATCCAAGATTATTCAGTAATAACTTGTAGAAAGTGTTTTTGGATATTTGAAAATTGGTTTGTAAACATCTCGAATGGGGACATGCCATGTGGCTCGTAGAGGCTGTCTGCGGGTGATGGAGACATAACCTTCTTGGCATTGCGTAGACTTTGCATACTGACCCTAGATCCTGGCTGTGGTTGCTCTGAGGCAGTGCCATCCAGTAGAACTTTATTTTTGATGACGGAAATGTTCTGTGTCTGGACTGTCCCGATATGGTAGCCACTAGCCACGTGGGCTATCAAATACTTGAAATGTTAATTTAATTTTAATTTAAAATACATTTGTGGTTACTGGCTACCATATTGGATGCAGATCTAACATTAAGGATGAAATTAGGAGAGTCAGCCCAGAAAAGCCATGTTGAAGTAAATTATTTTGGTGGAGAGAGGGAGAGCTGCTGTCCTTGCAAAGTGTTTTTGTCTAGCTTCTCTAGTTGGATACAACAGTGATATCAAGACAGACAGTTACTGAGGATGGGCAATGATCCCTGCTTCTAGAACCTCCCCTCATGTTTTCCAAGCTGTTTTCTTCCTTCTACCTGCTTTGCTGCTTGTCCTGTATTGCTGTGACATAGAGCACAATGCAGTACAGTGAAGCGATATATTTAAAAATTCTTTTTTATTTTATTTTTATTTATTTATTTTTTGAGACAGAGTCTCTGTCGCTCAGGCTGGAGTACAGCAGCACGATCTCAGCTCACTACAACCTCCACCTCCCAGGTTCAAGTGATTCTCATGCCTCAGCCTGTAATACTCAAGTAGCTGGGATTACAGTCACCTGCCACCATGCCCGGCTAGTTTTTGTATTTTTAGTAGAGACAGGGTTTTACCATGTTGGCCAGGCTGGTCTGGAACTCCTGACCTCAAGTGATCTGCCCCGCTCAGCCTCCCAAAGTGTTGGGATTACAGGCATGAGCTACTGTGCATGGCCAGAAAGTTCTTTAAAAGGAAGAATGTTGTCTCTACAAGATATTTATTTACATCAATTAAAGTATGTTGGCTGAATTTCTTACTAGTAGGATTGGTGTTGCAGTTAACTTGAGAGTTATGATGGATAGAAGCAGCTTTCATTCCTGGAATGCTGCTCCAAGTTAAACTTTCACGAACATAAATTCTCAGTAAGAACACCCTGGGCGGGCCACAGGGGCTCATGCCTGTAATCCCAGCACTTTGGGAGGCTGAGGCACAGGGATTGCTTGAGCCCAGGAGTTCAAGACTAGCCTGGGCAACATAGTGAGACCCTGTCTCTACCAAAACCACAAAAATTAGCCAGATGTGGGCGTGGTGGTGCACGCCTGTAGTCCCAGCTACTAGGATGGCTGAGGCGAGAACGCTTGAGCCCAGGATGTTGAGGCTGCAGTGAGGCATGATTATGCCACTGCACTCCAGCCTGGGTGACAGAATGAGATTCTGTCTCAAAAAACAAAAAACAAAAAACAGGCCACCCAGGCAACTCACCCAGGTTCATTGGTGGGCTGGCGGGTGCTGGAGAACCAAGATTACCAGAACTTAGCAGGGTTAGTTCGTCTCTTGAAAGGGATAAAATCAGTGAAATAGTTCATTTTTAAACGAAATTTTAAAAGTTCAAATTACATGTGCATGTTTATAGGAAATAGTGTTGAATTACCTTAGGTGTTCATATCAACCTATTTGCTGTCATCTTATCTGAGACTTCAGTTCCCTGTTTCAGGCCACTTTCTGGGTGATCCCAATCCTTGGGATAATGACCAGGACAGCAAGAGCAGCCTAAGGAGCTGACTGCTGGGGTCTTTGTGAGGGTGGAACCTGCTTTTCTTGTTTGTGAATTCCCCCATGTGCGGAGTTTTTGAGATTCCGTCTCAAAAAATAAATAAATAAAAACAAAATAAAAAGAACTTTTTAATATATCGCTTCACTGTACTGCATTGTACACGAGATGGTTGAACAGATGAGACAACATGGTTGTGCAGCTTCTCTTTTCTAGAGTCAACAGGAGATGCAGCAGGTCTGTAGTAGCCCAGAAGTTCTCAAACTTGCACTCTTGAATTTACATGTACGTACAAAATGCAGCTGAGCCTAATGCCTCCTGCACAGTTCTGTGGTGCTGCCTACTTCATGTGCCCAAATTAGCCTTGCATTTATAACTAGGAGGAATGACTTGATCTCCTGCAATATTTTGGCTCCTGGGCTTCTTTGATGTTCGTTCTGTTACTAGTTGATTTTTTTTTCTTGGAAAGAAAAGTATTCAAAGAGCCAGAATTTACTTTCATTATATCTTATAGTAGTTAAATTAACCTATCCTTGTTTTCACTTTCTGTGTACTTCTTTCTTTGGGGTACAAAGCAGTGTTTCTTTAGATTGTCTATCTCTAAATATTATTTTAACCAGAACATACCAAATATATTTTCCTGCCAGTTTCATTCTTCATTTTACTTCTTAATCATTGTTACGATTTTTTTTAACTTCAGTCTCAGATTGTGCTCAACTGAAGTTGTCCCAGTTGATGAGATTTTCTTTTCTTTGTAGCTCTTGACCATGACAGATGTGACCAGCACACGGATTGTTACAGCTGCACAGCCAACACCAATGACTGCCACTGGTGCAATGACCATTGTGTGCCCAGGAACCACAGCTGCACGGAAGGCCAGGTCAGAGGCTGTTTCTCAAAGATTTCGGAAAAATCCTAATTTGTCATAGGTTTAGCTTTTCTAGTGTATATGATATAAATAATGGCCCAGAGTTACTTTTCAAATGGGTTTCTATTTGGATTTTATTATCCCTGAGGTTTTCCTTCAGGAAGAGATGTTCTTTATATTCCAAGGGTCCTACTAGCCCCGGGAATTTGTTGTGTTTTAGAAGAAGGTAGGACTGTTGTCCGTGGGCATGGCCGTGACTAAGCACTGGATCCTTAGTTTGAGGCATCTAATAGTGACCTCACTTTACCAGTGCCAGGTTTTGATAGCAAGTTAGGATTTGAGACTGAGAGTGAGTCAGGTGTATAGTGGCCCATATTGAACTGTGGAAATGACAGACTTTGCAAAATCTCCTTGTTTTATATCTTGGTTTGGCATAATCTCACTGCTCATCATATATAGATTTTTAAATTTAAGTTATAAGATGACTCAGGCTTTTATAGTTTTTGACAGCTTATAAGACTTTTTTTTTTTGGTCAGTCTCATGCAGTTCATAAAATAGAAAACTTTCAGACTTTTGAAGTGAGCATTTGAAAAGCAGCAAGTTCAACATTCCCATTTTACAGATGAGCAGGTTGAGGCATGGTGTTTAAAAGAGTGGGCTGCTTCCTTGCCAGTTAAAAGCATGTCCTTGAGTAGAACATTACATTGTAGTGTTCCCACTGCAGAGCTACTGCAACTTTGTCTGTCTATCTATCTATCTATCTATCTATCTGTTTATCTATCTATTTATTTGCAGTTTGCTTCCTCAATTAGATTTTATTGTCTATAGTGTCCTGTTGGTCCTCACCATAAGTTCTCTCTGTGGATACAGGAGAAAAGCTTTTGTCCACTGTGTTCTAGATCTCCATTTTTAGGTATGAGAATTGCCCCAAGGATAACCCCATGTACTACTGTAACAAGAAGACCAGCTGCAGGAGCTGTGCCCTGGACCAGAATTGCCAGTGGGAGCCCCGGAATCAGGAGTGCATTGCCCTGCCCGGTAGGCCTTGCAGGGTCATCTTGGTGTGTGTGGGTCCAAGACTTCACCCCATTTCACCCAACACTGTGCAGCCTAGCTTGAACCTAGCAGAGGGGAAAAGCTAATTCTGTCCATTCATCCCCCACACCAGTATTATGAGGTATTTTGTTTTTAACTAAAATACAGTTCTTAAGTATTTCCTCCTACTGTCCTTTGAAATAAAGTGAAATGTCCTTCACTGCTCTGGAGAATTGAGTAACAGCTTGGTTCTGTATCACTGAGCCTGCTCCTTGTCTCTTTCCAATCCACCTTCAATAACCTGGGACTAGAACACGACGTCTCAGCAGCCAGTCTGCTGAGCACTTTATGGAGAGTACTTCTTGTTAACCACTGGGATTTATTTGTCAGCACCTGCTAATGGGCCTTCTCTGAGAAGGAGAGGATGGATATTTCTGTCAGCAGCACCTTTATGGGTGATCTCCAGCCCTGAAAACCTCAATATATGCTACTTCTGAGGTTCAGGTTGATGAATTCAGGGCCTGAGACCAGCCAGCCATGATTCAACCACTGTGATATATTTGTTCAACCAGGATGGTCCAGGAAGGGGAACTTCCTTGGCTCTGCACAACATCTGAGCTTGTTCAGGGAAGTTGGTTTGGACCAGGCCCTTTTTGAATGTCCCTTGGAAATTTTTGATTCAGCTTGCAGAGTAGGATTCTTTTCTTTATCTCAGTGTGTCCCAAATTTTAAGGTACAGCAAAAGACCTGGGAATTTTGTGAAAGGCATGTTCTGGTGCAAATGTGGGGTGGGACCTGGAGTGTGCATTTTATCTGATCGACTGCTACACTGTGAGGAGCAAGTCTTTGTCTGTTCTTAAATGATGTCTTTCCCATGGTACCTTTTATCTCAGTGACTGTTACTGTTAATGAACATTGTTGATGTCTCCAGAGTACTTTGGTTCTGGTGAAGTTACTTTGTTCTTTCATTGTCTTCCAAGAAGCATTCGTAGCTTCTGTGCAGTACCTTGTGTGGGTTCAGGATGATCACAGGTAGCAGATTACAAGCTTGCCTTGTATGCTATAGCCATATCACTTGGGTTGTTTCCCAAGAAGGACCTTCTCATCTTGCTTTTGGGATGCTGTGTATACTTGATTGTACCTTCCACCTGATAATATGAAAATATAGTGCAGCTTTTGGAGACTATAGATTTGTTAATTCCTTGATTCATTTCCATTCTTGCAGTTTTTACCCCAGCCATCCAATATGCATATTCATTTGTCTGCTCTTCACTTAGGATTTTAGTTTTCTTTCTAATTGTTCTTCAGAAGGAAGTGTACCAATCTAATATTGGCACCAAACTGGTGTTTTCCTCTAAGACATAGGAGAAGTGACCTCAGAATATGCTTTTTAGGATCTGGGAGATATCACTAGTAAACATTTTTAAATTATTGTATTCTGCATTTGGCCCTTAATAATGTGTCAGAGGCTCCCGCATCCTAATGGCCTAGAATTTAAATTAGAAACCCATTTCGCTATTCAGTAATTTGAACTAATAATATAGTAGTTTTGTCTGATTTCTAAAACTCTTTTTTTTCTCTTTTCCCCTTAATGAAAGAAAATATCTGTGGCATTGGCTGGCATTTGGTTGGAAACTCATGTTTGAAAATTACTACTGCCAAGGAGAATTATGACAATGCTAAATTGTTCTGTAGGAACCACAATGCCGTTTTGGCTTCTCTTACAACCCAGAAGAAGGTAGAATTTGTCCTTAAGCAGCTGCGAATAATGCAGTCATCTCAGAGCATGGTGAGTTAAAATCCTCAAAACTTAAGTTTCTGGTATCCACCTTTCTATCAAGGCCATGACTGCAGCTTGCATGTGGAAGGCTGTGGATATGTGTGATGTGCTTGGCAAAAGGGGGAGTGCTGGTAAACGCAGCCTGAGGGACTGTGGGTTTGTGCTGTCAGAGTCACTTCCTCATATGCCTTGTTTATCTTAAAATTTTTAATACTTTGTATATATAAGATCTATGAATAATTATGTAGGGGATGAATTGCAACATGTGTATGTGTACATACTCTGGTGACATCAGTAGGTGATTTCATATCTGTTTTACCTCTGGATTCTGCTAGGGGAGAAGGAGATTCTCAGTCACTGATAATTAGCTAGGTTGGATTAAATCACCTGAGTTCCTTGAAGTTAAGGTATTATAATAGTGCATAATACTGTATAATTACCATTAAGAAATGTACATCTCGGCTGGACGCGGTGGTTTACTCCTGTAATCCCAGCACTTTGGGAGGCTGAGACGGGTGGATCACCTGAGGTCAGGAGTTCGAGACCAGCCTGACCAATATGGTAAAACTCCATCTCTAGTAAAAATACAAAAATCAGCCAGGCATGGTGGCGTGTGCCTGTGGTCCCACCTACTCAGGAGGCCGAGGCAGGAGAATTGCTTGAACCCAGGAGGTGGAGGTTGCAGTGAGCCAAGATCGCGCCACTGCACTCCAGCCTGGGCGACAGAGCGATACTCCATCTCAAAACAAAAAAACAAAACAAAACAAAAGAAATGTACATCTGCTTGGGTCTTTCACAGCCCAACCATCTCAAAAGAAGAGAGTACCTTCTTGTCAAGAGTTTCTAAGCCCAGAAAGGCTCAGTTCTCTGCCTGTCCACCCAGTGCTCTCAGGGGGCTTATAGTCAATATTGCATGATCACATTTTGTCATTTTTAGTCCAGAGTCATAAATTGTGATGCTACCCTCAGTTAAGTAGACTCATAAAACAAAGTTCTTTCAGCAGTTTCAGCTGTGGTACAGAAACATTTAGTGGAAATGTTCTTATCAAGCAGGGAGGAGTTGAGGGCAACGCTTCTTTGGATACAGCCTTCTTCATGTGAAGGTATGGAAATGTGGCCTGGGTCTTGGCTGCATGTGGCCTCTGTGTACCACCTATAGGGCCATTCTGAGACTGGTGGGAGGTGCCCTGTATTTACTTTTCTCCAATTAGTCCCTTTTTTCAGTGCAACTTAGATAGGGTACAGACACTCAAACATTGGCGACATATTCTTAGTGTGTTTACCTCAGGCTACTGTGACCACATTTGGCATTTCATAATATTTTGATAGCTTTTTCAGATTTCAGAATCTCCATTGGCAACTGTCTCTGTTGTTTCTCTTCCCATGTCCAAATGTGGGTCTCTTCCAGCATTCCATCTTTGGCTGGTAGCTGACCTTTCCCATAGTCATTCGTTCCCTCAGAAAATGGATGGCTCCCAGCTTTGTTGATTACCCTGGCATCTCTAACAATGACTCTCAAGTCCACAGAAGTTAAAAGGGTTCAACTAGGTGGCCACAGATATACTTCTGGTACCCTTTCTCTCTTCCTTAGGTTTTCTAACTCTAAACGTTTCTAGGTATTCTAATCTGCTGTGGCCATGTTTATGAACAGAAATTCACAGTCTTAATGATAAGACTGACAGATGAGAGACAACTGAAGTGTAATGACCTTCCACAGCTATACCTCTAGATGTGGCCCAGTTGGTAGAGCCCAGATTTTTATGGAAAAACAAGAAAGGGCACCCAGCCTAGCCTTTAGGACAGAGACTGGCTGGTAGAAAGCTGGAAGGAGGTGACCCCTGAAGGTGAAAAGGAGTGAATTAGGATGTCGAAGAGGGAAGGGCTTCCTGTGTATTAATTAGTACCCCCATGTGTGAGATGTAGAGGGAGATGATTAAGGGAATGGCTCTTTGAGTGAGCTGCAGGTAAGTTTGCATGGTTGACTGCAGGCTGGATGGGAGGGGATTTTTATAGTTGAGCTTCAAGAAGGAACCAAGGCCAGACCCTGCGAGGCTGTGGCTACTATAGTAATGGATCTGAGTTTTATCATGAAGGCAAAGAAATTCTTGAAGGGCCTTTAAAAAGTATTTTTAACTTTCTTTCTTTCTTTTGGATCTATTTATTTTTTAGGTCTTTTAGTAGGCATGTGTATTTTTTCCTTTCAAAAATGGAAATAGGCCGGGTATGGTGGCTTATGCCTGTAATCCCAGCACTTTGGGAGGCCAGTGAGGGAGAATTGCTTGAGCCCAGAAGTTCAAGACTAGCCTGAGCAACATAGGGAGGCCCCATCTCTACAAAAAGTTTTTTTAAAAAAATTAGCCTGGCATGGTGGCGGCACATACTTGTAGTTCCAGCTACTTGGGAGGCTGAGGCAAGAGGGTTGCTTGAGCCCAGGGATTTGAGGCTGCAGTGAGCCATGATCATGTCACTGCACTCCAGCATGGGCAACAGAGCGAGACCCTGTCTCAAAGAAAACAAAGGGAGGGAAATACAGTATATCTTTTGTTTTATAACTACCAAAATTAGGAATACTTACCATTTCTTGGCTAAACTTTTTATTTTGATTTTTAAAACTTTTTAAAAATTGCAATGAGAAGGAAATTTCAGGAGAGCAGAAGACAGATTATCCCAGGTGTCACTGTCCTGTTATTCCCTATAAAATCCAGTGCCAGGATGGATGAATGGATAAAGCAAATGTGGTGTAAGTTGAATATCCCTTATCTAAAATGCTTTGGACGAGGAACATTTCGAATTTTAGAATATTTGCATTATACTAACCAGTTCAGCATCCCTAATCTGGAGATCCAAAATGCTCTAGTGAACATTTTCCTTCAGCATCATGTTGGCACTCAAAAAGTTTTAGATTTTGGAGTGTTTTGGATTTCAGTTTAGGGATACTCAACTTGTGTTTGGGGATAGCCATCTCTTCATATAGGTATTTCAGAACTTAAATACTGCTTTGCTATAATTTCTGTGAATTTTACGATATATTGTCTTCTCTGAGCTACATTTTTATCCTTTATAAAATGGCCATGTTGAAGTGATGATCTGTCCTAATCTACCATGGCTGAGTCAAGGGATAGAGAGGTTTTCCTATGTCTATGGGGTATACTTAACTTGGTGGTTTTTATCTAGAAGCTTGTTTTGGTCAAGATGTTGGTTATATTCAGGCCAGGCATGGTGGCTCATGCCTGTAATCTCAACACTTCGGGGGGCCGAGGTGGGAGGATCGCTTGAGCTCAGGAGTTTGAAACCAGCCAGGGCAACATGGCAAGACTCCATCTCCAAAATTTAAAAAAAAAAAAAAAAATGTTAGTTGTATTCATACTTGTATCTCTTTTGCCTTTAGTCCAAGCTCACTTTAACCCCATGGGTCGGCCTTCGGAAGATCAATGTGTCCTACTGGTGCTGGGAAGATATGTCCCCATTTACAAATAGTTTACTACAGTGGATGCCATCTGAGCCCAGTGATGCTGGATTCTGTGGAATTTTATCAGAACCCAGTACTCGGGGACTGAAGGCTGCAACCTGCATCAACCCACTCAATGGTAGCGTCTGTGAAAGGCCTGGTAAGTTCATGGGTGAATTAGGTGGTATTCAGAGTTTAATGTGAGAGAAACCATAGGAGGCATAGTTAATTGCTGAGATGTGTGAAGTAGTGATGAAAACAGATGAAGTATTGATTTCAAGCATGCAAAGCAGAGTATAACCCAGATTTCAGAAGCAGAAGGAAATATTCTGGGACCCTGAATGGTTTTAATTATAAAGAAAACAAAAAATAACTAACTATTCAAAGTAATAATAACCTACTCAAAGAAACTGATATTCTAATTAACAATGAGATTGATAGGTTTATTGACCAGAAAAAGTATTGAGAATTGCTCTGAAAGGCAAATATACTGGTGTTGGCAGAGAAATGCAGTGGAAGAACAAACAAAGAAGGGAAATAAAAACAAGGAAAAGATTAGTAAAGCAAGTCACTGCAGGAACAGTGTTCAGAAAGGTAGTGTCAACAGGGAGAAAAGTGATGAGAGCAGTTCTGTAACCGAGGACAGAGGCAACCCAGAACTGCGCGAGAGCTGTGGGAGAGTACTGAGCCAACAGACACTCAGAGTTGCTTCCCAGCTTTCAGTCTCTCTGGGCTACATTTCGGCTAACTAAAGGCAGGCCCAGGGGTAGCTGCTGTGGCATGAAGACAACCCAAAACGAGCCTCCTCCTCCTGCAGAGGAACTCACAAGCAGTCGGTGGAACTGTGGGTTATTTTGGGAGGCTGGCCTCCATTTGCATTGTGTCCAGTTTTGGGAAAATAATTTGTGAGGAATTACAGAGGTGTAGAAGAGAATTCATAGCATTGTAGAAGTCACCTTAAAATATGATTTTTAAACTTTTCTAGGGGAGCTGCCAAGCAGCCTTTCAGAATTCTGAATCCTTTGGTGAATTTAATGAGTGCCGTGGTCCTTCTTCCCTCCAAAATTGCAAACATGAGATTTTACATACTCAAGTGGGTTGTAAAACCCTAAAGTTCATCCTGGGTCCCCAAACTCTAAGGGGCTTACAGCCCTACTTTTATGGAAAGATTCACTGTTTCCTCATCTTTGTCCTTGATGCTCTTTGAAAATAAAATGTATTTTTTCCACAAGTATGTAAATACACTTGACTAAACAGCACTTGATGACTTTTATTGTTTTCTGTTTTCTCTCATTTAATTGATTGCATGGCACATTAATGGGTCATCACCCACATTTGAAAAGTCTTGACCGGGCACAGTGGCTCACGCCTATAATCCCAGCACTTTGGGAGGCCAAGGCGGGTGGATCACGAGGTCAGGATATTGAGACCATCCTAGCTAATATGGTGAAATCCCATTTCTACTAAAAATACAAAAAATTAGCCGGACGTGATGGCATGCCCCTGCAGTCCCAGCTACTCGGGAGGCCGAGGCAGGAGAATCACTTGAACTGAGGAGGTGGAGGTTGCAGTGAGCCAAGATTATGCCACTGCACTCTAGCCTGGAGACACAGTGAGACTCTGTCTCAAAAAAACAAAAAAAAAAAAAAAAAAGAAAGAAAAGTCTTTAACCTTAGCAAACATGGTGGGGGCTCTAAGTGTCTCTCTTGGGTTTCATTCCCAGCAAACCACAGTGCCAAGCAGTGCCGGACACCATGTGCCTTGAGGACAGCATGTGGAGAGTGCACCAGTGGCAGCTCTGAGTGCATGTGGTGCAGCAACATGAAGCAGTGTGTGGACTCCAATGCCTACGTGGCCTCTTTCCCTTTTGGCCAGTGTATGGAGTGGTATACAATGAGCACCTGTCCCCGTAAGTGAAAAAGGGAGCCCTAGGCACTTATGCATGCCCTCTGTATAGGCAACAACTCAGACATGGGGCTGTGCTCTCAGCCTCTTAACATTTTAGAAACAAGACTGGACATGACCTCTGCTCAAACCTGACCAGAGACTACCATCGAGACATTGCTGCCTGATGACAACCTTCATACAGAATCAGGCACATTGACAGTAAATAAATGTAGGACGGATCACAGAGTACAGAAATAACTTGTCCATCCTCAATGGCATATTGCGCAATCCATGTAATAGCTCCATATCTGAATGTCCTAATTTGTAAAGTAAATGCTTTCCAATAGATAACCTCTAAGGCCCCTTTTACCTTCAATATCCTGGAATTGAGAAAGGAGGGAAGGGTCATCTCTGTTATGTATTGGGCAAAATACTGGGTTCTTTACATTCGTTATCTCTTTTAAATAATCAAGACAGAATAGTATTTTTGACTCATACCAGTTGAATAGTCTGTTAAAAATGTAATTTAAATACAGTGAATTCAGATCTACCTGAGATAGTCAATTGCAACTTTTTTTTTTTTAATAGCTGAAAATTGTTCAGGCTACTGTACCTGTAGTCATTGCTTGGAGCAACCAGGCTGTGGCTGGTGTACTGATCCCAGCAATACTGGCAAAGGGAAATGCATAGAGGGTTCCTATAAAGGACCAGTGAAGATGCCTTCGCAGGCCCCTACAGGAAATTTCTATCCACAGCCCCTGCTCAATTCTAGCATGTGTCTGGAGGACAGCAGATACAACTGGTCTTTCATTCACTGTCCAGGTAAGATGCTTTGCATATCCAAATTCAAGTGTTTCATTACCGATTTATGAAGAATAAAACCTTGGAAGCTACGTTGTGTGTATGTAACTCCCTCCCCTCAGCCCCTTCCTTCTTCCTCATGATTGGTACAAGAAGGAATAGACGAGAAGGTGATCCAAGGCCTGACCTGGACCTGCTGGGAGTGGTGGTGGGTTTCTAAGAAACCAATTCTAAGAAATTGACCTTTGATTCAGACTTGAAGTGACCACTCAGCAATGTGTCTGTCTGCTTCTAGAACAACTGGGAGAGGCTGGGCTGGTGCAAAGACTGCTCAGAGATTAGCGGTCAAGAACTTCTCTAAGAGCCTGTCAGACAGTGCTGTTGACAACAGGGCTCTTTGTGAGGACTTTATAAGGGGAAGTCCACTGTAAACAAAGGTAAAAGGCCAGAGACAGACTGGGAGAAAATACCTGCACTGTATGTAACAACTGATGATCATCCAAAATATATAAACTCCCACCCTCCAGAGAAAAAATAAAAAGCTAAATGTGAACCCAACCGAAAAAGTGGTTATTGGAGATAAAGAAACCATTATCAGAAAAAGAAATAGAAGAGGAAAATGTAAACTAACACCAGGAACCAATTTTTTGTCTACTAAACTGGATCAAATTTTCCATGTTCCCTTTTTTCCATACTAAGATTTGGGGGATCTGCAATTCTATTTTTAATCTACTAGGAGTTAACTTTTTAATGAAATATTTAAATCTCTGCTTTTTCATTAATATCAAGAATGTATCTAGTAAAATGACAACCCAGAGAATGGGAGAAAATATTTGCAAATTATGTATCTAATAAGAATCTAATGTCCAAAACACATAACTCTTAAAACTCAACAATAGAAAGACAATCCAATTAAGAAATGGGTAAAGGATTTAAATAGACATATGTCCAGAGAAGAAATACAAATGGCCAATAAGCATACGAAAAGATACTCAGTATCATTCATCATTAGAGAAATGCAAGTCAAAGCCACAATTAGATACCACTTTACACCTGCTGAGATGGCTATAATCAATAAATCAGTTAGTAACAAGTATTGGCAAGGATATGTAGAAATTGGAACTCCCATGCAGGTTGGCAGGTCCTCAGAAAGTTAAATATAGAGTTATCATATGGCCCAGCAGTTTTACTCCTAGGTACATACCCAAGAAAATTGAAAACATATGTTACCCAAAAACTTGTATATAAATGCTCATGCTTATAGCATCATTCTCATAGCCTCATGCTCATAGCAACATTATTCATAATAAGCAAAAGTGAAAACAAGCCAAATAGCTGGCGAATGGATGAACAAAGTGTTGTATGTTCATACAGTGTAATATTATTTGGCAATAAAAAGGAATGAAGTACAGACATATTTTCTGATGTGGATTACCTTAAAAAAGCATGCTGTGTAAAAGAAGCCAGGTGTAAAAGATGATGCATTGCATGATGCCATTTATATGAAATGCCCAAAGACAGTAGATGTTTAGTGGTTTCCTAAGACTGGGCATGGAAATGAAGAATAATAGGCATGAAGTTTTCTGGAGTAGCTGCAGCATTTTATGCTCTCACCAGCATCATATGAAGGTTCATATTTTTCCACGTGCTTGCCAATACTTGTTACTGACCATCTTTTTAACTAAAACTGTTCTAGTGGATGAGAAATGGCATCTCACTGTTGTTTGGATTTGTATTTTCCTGATGACTAATGAAATTGAACATCAACTTCATTAGTTAGCCTTTTGTATATCTTCTTTAGAGAAATATATATTCAAATTCTTTGCCCATTTTTCAGTTATGTTGTCTTTTTTATTATTGAATTGTAAGAGTTCTTTATGAATTCTGAAGTCCCTATTGGATATATTATTTGCAAATACTTTCTCCCATTATATGGGTTTCTTTTCACTTTCTTAATATGCCTTTTGAAATCAGAAGTTTTCAGTTTTGATTAAGTTCCATGTATCAATATTTTATTTTATCCCATGTGCTTTTTGGTATTGTATCTAGAAAATCAGTGCCCAGAGCAAATCACATAGATTTGCTCCTAAGTTTTCTTTGAAAAGTTTTGTAGATTTATGTCTTACGTTAGGTCCTTTATCCATTTTGAGTTAATTTTTATCTATGGTGTGAGGTAGGGGTCCAAACTCTCTTTTTGCCTGTGGATGTGGTCCCTGCACCATTTGTTGAAAAGACTTTTTTTTTTTAACCATTGAATTTTCTTGGCACATTTGTTGCAAATCAGTTGGCTGTGAATCTAGGAACTTATTTCTAAGCTCTCATTTCTGTGCTGTTGACCTACATTTCTCCTTTTGCCAGTATTACACTGTTTTGATTACTGTGGCTTTGTATAAGTTTTGAAATTGGGAAATCTAATTCCTCCACCTTTGTTCTTATTTTATAAGACTGTTATAGCTATTCTGGGTTTCTTGCATGTCCATATTAATTTTAGGAAGAGCTTGCCATTTTCTGCAACAACAAAAAGCCAACTGGTTTGATAAGGTTTGCATTGAATCTATTGGCCAATTTGTGGTGTACTGCCAGTTTGTTTGTTTGTTTGTTTGTTGAGACAGGGTCTCACTCTGTCACCCAGGGTGGAGTGCAGTGGTGCTATCTTGGCTCACTGCAACCTCCACTTTCCCAGGCTCAAGTGATTCTCCAGCCTCGGCCTCTACAGTAGCTGGTACTATAGGCGTGAGCCACCAACACCCAGCTAATTTTTGTATTTTTTTAGAGACAAGGTTTTGCCATGTTGCTCAGGCTGGTCTTGAACTCCTGAGCTCAAAGCAGTCCTCCTGCCTCTGCCTCCCAAAGTTCTGGGATTGCAGATGTGAGCCACCACGCCTGGCCTTTGCCATCTTAACAAGGTTAAATCTTCTAGCCTATGAACCTGGAATGTCTGTTTACCTCTTTACTTTCTTTTGGCATTGTTTTGTAGTTTTCAGTGTACATCATTGTCTTGTTCCCTTTTTTAGGGGAAAATAATTCAGTCTTTATTAAATATGATATTGGTTTAGATTTTTTTTAATACATACCCTTTATTGGGTTGAGAAAGTTTCCTTCTATTCTAGTTTTTTGAGGGTTTTGTAATGAATGAGTGCTAGATTTCGTCACTTTTTCTGTGTCTACTTAGATGATCATGCAGTTTTGTTCTTTATTCTATTAATACTATGTATTACACTAATTAAGAATGTTAAGCCAGTTTTGCATTCCTGGGATAAAGCCCATTTAGTCATGATGTATACTTTTTTATCATGATGTATATTTTTAATCCGCTATTGGATTCTATTTGCTAGTTGGGGATTTTGTGTCTGCATTCATGAGGGGGATATAAGTTTGTGGTTTTCTTCTTTTGTGATTACTGTCTGGCTTTCATAGCAGGGTAGTACTAGACTCTTAGAGTAAGTTGGAACATACTCCTTCTCCTCTATTTACTGGAAGAGTTCGTCAAGGATTAGCATTAATTATTCTTTGTAATCTGTGTTTTTCTAGGAATTTGTCTATTTCATCTCAGTAATCGAATTTGTTAACGTACAGTTCATAATTTTTTTTTTTTTTTGAGACAGAGTCTCACTCTTTCACTCAGTCTGGAGTGCAGTGGCATGATCCCTGCCCACCGCAACCTCCGCCTCCAGGTTCAAGTGATTCTCCTGCCTCAGCCCCCCAAGTAGCTAGGACTACAGGCACACGCCACCACTCCTATCTAATTTTTTTGTTTTTGTTTTTGTTTTTAGTAGAGACAGGGTTTTACCATGTAGACCAGCACGGTCTCGATCTGACCTGTGATCTGCCCACCTCGGCATCCCAAAGTGCTGGTGTGAGCCACCGCGCCCAGGTGTGAGCCATCGCGCGCAGCCAGTTCATAGCATTTTCTTTCAGGTTGCTCTTTAGCAATACGTAGTCACCTGTTTAACCTGTTAAGGATTTTTTTTTCTAATTTGGTTTTATTCATTCTTTTACATTTTGCGAGGGCTCTAAATATTGTGAGTTTTTTTTTTTTTTTAAGAGCTTGCTCTCTTATATTGTGGATGCAATAATTTAAGCCTTGTTGAATGTACTAAAATTTGTATTTTTCATTTTCTCATATTTCTTCCATTAACCCTTCCTTCAGGATTTGTTGCTGTGCATGTTTATCCTGGTGATATTTGGAGATTGAGAATTTTCTTATACTGGTTAATCCTCAAGGTTAATTTCTATTAATAACTAAATGTGTAGATCTGTCAATATTGGTCAGTGGTTGGGTGTGCTGAGCTGTTGTGAAGGTGTGGTATGATCTTCTAGAAAAGCTAGCAAGCCAGCCTCAGGTCACTCCAGCTCTGGTCCACTTGGACTGTTGTTGACTGGTGTGCACTCCTCCCTCATTGGAAGAAGGAAGGAGCAATGGACCTGGGTGTCTGGGTGCAATTAGCATGTTCATGGATGTGCCAAGTGCCTCCCAGTCTTGGGTGGTAGGGCCACCTAAAGATAGCTGGCACATTGCCTTGAGTCTGCCTGCCTTTCTTTCTTTCTTTCTTTCTTTCTTTCTTTCTTTCTTTCTTTCTTTCTTTCTTTCTTTTCTTTCTTTCTTTTCTTTCTTTCTTTCTTTCTTTCTTTTCTTTCTTTCTTTCTTTCTTTCTTTCTTTCTTTCTCTCTTTTTCTCTCTTTCTCTCTCTCTTTCTTTCTTTCTCTTTCTTTCTTTCTTTTCTCTTTCTCTTCCTTTCCTTCTCTTTTCTGTTTTCTTTTCTTTCATTTTTGAGGTGGAGTTTTGCTCTTGTTGCTCAGGCTTGAGTGCAGTGGTGCTTTCTTGGCTCACTACAACCTTCACCTCTCGGGTTCAAGCGGTTCTCCTGCCTCAGCCTCCCAAGTAGCTGGGATTACAGGCACCTGCCACCACCCCTGGCTAATTTTTTGTATTTTTAGTAGAGACGGGGTTTCACCATGTTGGCCAGGCTGGTCTCGAACTCCTGACCTCAAGTGATCCACCCACCTCGGCTTCCCAAAGTGCTGGGATTATAGGCGTGAGCTACCACACCCAGCTGAGTTTTCTTTCAAACACTCAAATACTAACAGGTGCATAAACAGAACAGGTACAAGGCTATAGAAGGTTGCCAAGATGGTGAAAAACTACATCACATTGATCAACCAAGGCAGATCTGAAGAATCAGATTTTGCTTACAGAGCAGGTTGTGCAACTATGTAAATATCTCCCCCATCCCATTCCTCCTTAGAGTTCTGCAGTGCACAGCCTGTGCAGCTGTCCTGAGCAGTCCTCAGAGGTCCAAGCTTCATATACCTTTCTAGTTGTAAAGCCTTATATCCATTAGGAGTCTTAGTAATCCCACTTGTGGAAATGTTTATCCATAAAGATGGTTATTTTTCTAATAATGAAAAATGTAAAGCAAACTAAATATTAGAATATAAGGGAATGGTAAAATAACTGTTAAGATTCATCAAAATCATTCTGCCATTTAAAGTTTTGTTTATAATTAATGAAATAATGTGGTAAAATAATTGTGATCTAAGTTAAAAAAGAAAGGTGAATATTAATATGAACATAATTGTGTAACACTGTATAGAAAAATACCAGAAGAAAAGATATCAAATGTGAACAGTGGTCTCTGGGTGGTTGGATTGTATATGATCTTTCCCATCCTTCTATTTTTTAAATATACTGTCATGAGCATATGTTATTTTTTAGTGAGTAACAACAAAAAATATTTTTTAGTGTCACTATGGGCTTTCACCTTGCTGTGATACATTTTCAGTTTTCCTGGACTAGCTCTTCTTTGATATTTTTTATCTTATTTCTCAAATTAGTTTTTAATGGGCCAGTTTGGGTGATTTATCAAAGATAAATTAACTACAGAGATAGTTGCAGATAAATCTTTCTGAACTTACTCCATGCAGTTCTTCCATGGTACAGACCCCTTGAAACTCTTTTTCTTCCAGCTTGCCAATGCAATGGCCACAGTAAATGCATCAATCAGAGCATCTGTGAGAAATGTGAGAACCTGACCACAGGCAAGCACTGCGAGACCTGCATATCTGGCTTCTACGGTGATCCCACCAACGGAGGGAAATGTCAGCGTAAGTCAAATTGGTCAGATTTACTCGTGGCAAATCGGTGTGGAACACAGTACTTCTATTTGACTTGAGTAGGAGGAAAAAAGCCACTTTGTTTTGGATACCACATTTCTTATTAAATCATACTGGTCAGAGGCTCAGCTGAGCTGGAAGAAAACTAAGGTTTCAGTGTAGCTGGTTAAAGCAACAAGCCAAAAATGTTAGAGTTAAGCTGACCACATTCTGCAGTGGTATAAACAAGGGCCCAAAACCAGAGAAAGTGCCAACTTCTGTTTCCTTTCCTCCCATTGAACAGGGCACAGGTCAGTAGTCAGAGGGATCAGCTCAGACATGGGAGTCTTGGGGCTCGTCTCACTGAGGAGAGAGCCCCGGACAGAAGGTTCCAGCAGTATATGGACCCTAAGGTTGTGGGGAGGGCAAGGTATAAGGGCTAGGAGTAGGAAAGTCCTGAGTTGGAGTCAGTTAGGAAAGTGTCTTCTGAATTCTCCCTCTTCCCCCCATCAGGAGGCCTTGGTGCCTGAAGAAGACCTCAGCCCAAGGGCTCAGATAGGGAGCCTGGGAATGAAGGCTCCAGGGCTAGGAATGTAAACATGTGAAGGAGCGTGACCCATGAGGTAGACCTGAGTCCTTAACTGCACCTCTCTCAGAGCCCCGCACTCAGGCCCACCTCATAGGTCACGCTCTGCCTGTAGGGAGGTCCCCCTTCCCCGAGGGCAGCCAGGTAAAGCCTATGTCATTGCCTATGGTCAGGCCTAAAAAATCACACAGAGGCTTTTTAACCAGGAGCCAGACTCCTCAATACTTCTAGTGTATTTTAAAGATTTAAATAGTCCCATGTTGGCTGGGCACGGTGGCTCACACCTGTAATCCCAGCACTTTGGGAGGCCAGGGCGGGTGGATCACTTGAGGTCAGGAGTTTTAGACCAGCCTGGCCAACATGGTGAAACCCCATCTCTACTAAAAATAGAAAAATTAGCTGGGCGTGGTGGTGGGTGCCTGTAATCCTAGCTACTCAGGAGGCTGAGGCATGAGAATTGCTTGAACCTGGGAGGTGGAGGTTGCAGTGAGCCAAGATCACGCCACTGCACTCTAGCCCGGGCAACAGAGTGAGACTCAGTCTCAAAAAAAAAAGAAAGTCCTGTGTTTCCCCTTTTATGTCAAATAGAAACCTGCAAACAATAGGACATTTTATTATGAGATCAAAAATTATGACAAGTAATACTTATGAACTGCTTTTTTAATTCTAGTTTCCAGCTGAAAAACATAATGGGTACTATAGTTGAAAGACTCTTCAAAGTTCTGAGCAGGAAAAGTAAACATAGGGAAATCTCTACCTACTTCCCAGATCCCAACTCCAAACTTTGGCATGACCCTTCAGAATCTAATCCAAGACCAGCCAGGAGAGAGGCAGTGTTCTAGCTGTATGTCCCTTACTCTCCGTGGGGTTCAGTTTCCTCATAATAATAGGGTGGTTGTTGAGATGAAAGCAGAGCAGTACATGACACACATTCTGCAGGATACTAGTCAATACTCAGTAGACGTGGGCAATTCTTATTACCCTTCTAATGCCATTCCCCATTACTCCTAAGTAAAAGTTCTTGCTCAGATTAAAAGGTACTTGGTAAAAATATTTTCCCACTCTTTGTGAATAGACTTTATCCATTAGACAGTAACTAGTGTACCTAACAGAGTGGTAAAGTGTACAAGGCATTGTGCTGTTAGCCACTCAAAATACAGGTGCTTTTATTATCCCCAAGATCAAGTAAACTGCCCAGGGTCTCACAGTGAGATGTGGCCAAGCTGAGAACCACGTCCAGTCTGTGCTGACCTTAACTACTGGGCTGGTTGTACTTCCAGATGCCATCATCCCCACATCAGCAGCTACTATCTGGCAGCATCACATTTTCCTCTGTGAGATCTACAGGGCCTGAGTACAATTGTATAGAACTTAGAGTTTGCCTTATTTTTCAGAGTCCTAATCCACAATAGAAAGCGTGGTGTTTAGAATACTGCAAATTGGCCAGGCGCGGTGGCTCACGCCTGTAACCCCAGCACTTTGGGAGGCCGAGGTAGGCGGATCACGAGGTCAGGAGATCGAGACCATCCTGGCTAACAAGGTGAAACCCCATCTCTACTAAAAATACAAAAATTAGCCAGGCATGGTGGTGGGTGCCTGTGGTCCCAGCTACTCAGGAGGCTGAGGTAGGAGAATGGTGTGAACCTAGGAGGCGGAGCTCGCAGTGAGCCGAGATTGCGCCAGTGCACTCCAGCCTGGGCAACATAGCAAGACCCTGTCTCAAAAACAAAAAAGAATACTGCAAATGGCACCAAGTCTTTGATGTTTTCTTCTTAAAATTGTATAGTCCTTAGGTAAGGATAGTAGCCATGGTTTCTTGAATGCTTACTATGTTTGAGACATCATACACATATCATCAAAAACACCCCTATGAGATAGGTACCGTTGTTATCCCCATTATATGGACAAGGAAGCTGAGACTCAGAAAGGTTAAGTAGCATTTCCAGAGTGACAGAAGAGCCAAGTAGAGTACGCTGGATTCAAACCCAGGCAGATGGACATAAGGCCTTTACTTCTCACTAATAAATTACACACCTTCCCCCAGTCTCAACAGAGCCAAGCATCAAACACTCACGATTCTGACTTTAGCATCCATTCTGTTAATCTCTGCACTATTCTGTTTTATAGTTTTCTTTGGGTGATTTTTTTCCCCAAAAGATTTATTTTTAAAGCATACCTCTCTCCAACTGAATGCCTTTCGTTTGTTCACCAGCAAAACAGGGTATAAAGTGAAAAGGTGTTGACCAAAAAACCTTTCATTTTCTTCAACTGGAGTATAATATTTGTCACAGCTTGTATTATGTTGGATGATAAAAGGAGAGATGTTGAGATGGCCAGAGGAGGGAGATGGGAAGAGCTATTTTCTGTAAAGGCAAAAAAGAAGGTGAAGCAAGGGTGGCGCGTCCTGAGGGCCCCTAAAGCGCTGACCTTGGCGTTGGATCCTGGTTCTGAGTCCTGCGGTAATTCCAAATGTGGCCATCATGGAGAAGGCACCTCAGCCAAGACCAGCCCTCCTTCAGAGGATAGTCACCTCCGGAGCACCTTCCTAGGGGCAGCAGCTATGTCTGTGTCCCCACACCCGGCACCTGGCGTTCTAGAGATGCTTCACAAATATTTATTGAATGAATGAAAGAATCAGAGCAGTGAAAAAGAGAGTCTATTGAAAAGATCAGAATAGTCATTGCTTCAGAAGGCAGTGGGTACCAGCATTTACTTTCCTCCTGTCCTTTGATTTTGGTTCCTTTAATGTTACCTATACATTATTATCATTAGCTGAAAAATCATGAATCTTGCCCATTGAATGCTCTTACTTTAATCTGTCTTTCCTACTGAACTCAATTCAGATAAAATTGCTTGTTTTGGAAAAAGTCTCCAATAGTCAGAATTTTTTAAGCCAGTTGTGACCTCCATTCGTTTTTCTTCTCTGCAGCATGCAAGTGCAATGGGCACGCGTCGCTGTGCAACACCAACACGGGCAAGTGCTTCTGCACCACCAAGGGCGTCAAGGGGGACGAGTGCCAGCTGTGAGTACCACACTCCCTGGACCACCAGGGAGGACCAAGAGGCTGTGCAGCTGCCTGAACCCCATCCTGAGAGCCACCCACTTCCCTGTGTCTTGTTGCTGTGGACTCTGAGGGATCTCTGGGTTGATTAGTTTGAAAGTTTGCCCATTCTACTTCAGACAGGTCAATCCCCAAACTGAGGAGGTCGTCGAGTTAGCAGCAATTCCTTAATGGCTCTTGAATTCACATTATTGTTTAAGTGATACTGACATTTCCTGGGTTGTCCATTCAGATTAGTCATTTTAACTTCAGCAACTACTTGATTTTTGTCATGTGAAGAGATTGTACTGTTTCCCAAAGAGTAGAGTTGGAAGAGCTGGTGTTTTGGTGATGGCATTTATTTGGCGTTTGGTTGTCTGATTGTGGAAATGATCCTCTCACCTTTAACATTTGCTGTTACTCTAGCATTTTCCTTGTTGAAGGATGTCAGGCATCTTCCTGGGGAGGGTTTGGAGTCCCCATCCATGAGGATGCAGGTGCAGCAGCATCAGGCACGTTTAAGATTTCAGACCTGGCCCTGCCTCCACTGAGCAAGGTGCTCTTGAGGCAAATCACTGTTCCCCACATCTGTCAATAGTGGGACTAGCCATAGTTGTTTTTGATGTCCTGTTAAGTTGAAATAGGAAGGATAGTTCCTCAATCAGTGTATACCGGGCTGTCTCACGGGGAAACCTCATAAAACGCATGCATCCGCATTGACTCATTCTCAAGAGGAGACTTAAAAGTGTTTAGTATCAAAACACTGAGCCGATTAATCATTGTAAACATCATTATTTCTTTTTTTTTTTTTTCCGAGACGGAGGCTTGCCCTGTTGCCCAGGCTGGAGTGCAGTGGCACGATCTCGGCTCACTGCAAGCTCTGCCTCCTGGGTTCACGCCATTCTCCTGCCTCAGCCTCCCGAGTAGCTGGGACTATAGGCGCCCACCACCACACCCAGCTAATTTTTTATGTTAGAGAAAGGGTTTCACCGTGTTAACCAGGATGGTGTCGATCTCCTGACCTCGTGATCCGCCTGCCTCAGCCTCCCGAAGTGCTGGGATTATAGGCGTGAGCCACCATGCCCGGCCAAACATCATTATTTCTTAAATAACAGTAGTAGTAATGCCACCAGTGATTGAGACGTCATCGCTAGTGCTACTCAGCAGGGTTTGGTCTGTCTACCTTTTTAGTTTATATTTGCATATATGCTTACTAGTTTCGTGTTGCCCTAAAGCCAATATGTGAAGAAAAGTCTAATCCAAGGTTAAATTTAACTTTTAGGTCCACATTCCTTTAAACAGAAAAATGTGATCAGGCAAAATTAATCACTCTTACCCTCAGTTAGCTGATGCAACAAAGACCTGAGGTGGCATCAAGTAAGACTTTCAAGTTCCTTCAAGATCACAGATGTAGGCAGGTGCTGCTCATCACCCTGGCTGAAGGGACACAGCATGCCTGCCTGGGAAAGGCCATCACCTGCTTCCCACCCTTTCCTCTTCGTGCATAGCTGTTGTGTTTACCTAAATGGCTTTGTGAAGTGGGAGGCTGGGTTTTGCTGATGTTTATAGATCATAGATGATATCTATGGGGAAATTGTTTTCTGAGGAGAACACATTTTTTTTCTACATACTGGTGAACACTTGTTCCAGGGTTTTAAAAAAACAGTGATTCTTGGTATTTAGTCTTCCCTCACTTGTGTTTAAAGAAGAGAATTAGTTTATCCAGGGAACATAGGAAAGAAGTGAGAAATTAGTATTTGAAAAATGTTTTGACTGCACTTTTAGAAGAATATGTAGTCCACACAGAATTGAAAATGTGTTTTTCATTATAGCAAATAGGTGTATTGCGTTTGGATTTTTCTCATTGCTTTGGCAAATGCTTGTCAATTGTCGTCATACAGTTGGTGTGTGAACTGCTGAGCAGTCAGTATTGAAACATGCATGCTCTTCGTAGACCACCTGAGCTGAGTTATGGTGAAGGATGCAGTTATAATGACTCCAGACTGTCTGTACTTTATATAAAAGGATCTGCTTGGTTTTAAAATGAATTCAGCTTCTGTTTTAAATAGAAGTATAAATAGTCTTTGTTTTTTCCCCCAGATGTGAGGTAGAAAATCGATACCAGGGAAATCCTCTCAAAGGAACATGTTATTGTAAGTGGTTTTGCAATTCTTATTTCTAGAAGCAAAGTAGTTCAGTAAAACTTCATTGTTTAACCTCGTTTGAGAATGATAAGTGCTATAGGACTATAGCAACCACCAATGAAGTGTTCCCTAACTTGATATGTTTACATTCTGTTAAGTTTACTACTTATAGGAGCACTATTTTAACCTGTTTTAATTGTGTTTGGGGTTAACGTTAGTGTGTCCATAGCAGATAGCAGGAGAGAGTAGAGAGGCATGCATCTCTGTCTTTCCATGTTATGTTCTCTTAAAACTTTATTTGCCATTACCTAGTTGGGGTCATCATATTTCATGTTTTAGGATATAGATTAAAAACAGAATTCTTAAAATATGGTTGAAGTTTTTGTCATTCTGTCTGGAACTGATTTGTGTTAACCACCTTGGGGTGAAAGGTCAGTCTGGCAAGGTCACCAGGTTTTTATGGGTAAATGTGTTTTCTCTTTATGGGAGAATGCACATGGTAGACCAGAGTATGGAACCAGAAAAAAGGAGTTAATGTTATGGCATATCCATTGTAATTATATACCTGCTGTACTGGGTTGAATAACGTCCCTTCAAAATTCATGTGTGCTTGGAACCTGTGAATGTGACTTTATATATATATATATATGTATATACACACATGTAACTTCTAAAAGAAAATAAGAGAAAAATATCTTGACCTTCCGTGGGGAAAAGTTGTTAGATATGTTTCTAAAAGCATAATTCATAAACAAAAAGTAGATTAATGAAACTATATAAAAATTTAAAATGAAACTATATAAAAATTTAAAACTTGTAGGAAAAAACCATCCAAAACATAAAAAGCCACAGACTAGAGAAAATATTGACAAATTATCATATATTTGATAAAGAGTTTGTATCCAAAATACATAAGGAACTCTTCTTACAACTGAATAAGAAGACAGTTCCAGTAAAAAACAGGCAAATATTTGAAAAGACATTTCATGAAAGAAGATATTACAGTGGCCAATAAGCACATTAAAAATGACTTAACATCATTAGTTATTTGGAATGGAGATATTAAAACCACAGCCAGATACAGCCCTAAAGTGATTAGAATCCAACGCTAATGCCATGGCTTTATAGAAGACAGTGGTAATCTCGTGTCTGCTTCTGCATTCAGTCTGTTGCAGGACATCTTTTTGGTTAAACACATGAAAAAAACCTGGCCTTACCAGACATGCAGTTGGAAAAGGGTATAGTAATACCCTTTTAATAGCCTTTTCAGATAATTACGGATGTTATTTGATATTATGCTGAAACTGTACAACTGGTCATTTCTTTAAAGCAGTTTGATGGGTTAACCCAAATAAAATGATACTGCCCACAGACTTGATTTTCTTTGAGGAACCTAGGTGCAGGTGAGTTAAAGTGCCTTCCTCATTACTTTATAAGAAAAGCAGCCTGTATCTCTAAAGACCTGTTCTATTTTGTGCATGTGTGTAGTTTTTAAATACGCATTTCTTTCTTTCCATAGATACTCTTCTTATTGACTATCAGTTCACTTTTAGTCTATCCCAGGAAGATGACCGCTATTACACAGCTATCAATTTTGTGGCTACTCCTGATGAAGTAAGATTTTTTAAAGTCTTCCTATTTTGTTTTCAATTTATATGGATCTCTTTCTTGGTCATTATGGATAGAAGTACTGCCTTAGCAGTGCTCTCCAAACTGCTCTCCAAACTATACGAGATGATCTCTAGAGGTATAGGAAAGAAATGTTAGAATCTGTATTATCTCCTTTCCACGTAAAAGGCAAAAGTGGTGTTAATAAGATTTACCAGGATCTTAGACGCAGACTGACATTGATTCCACACGTACTTACTCTGCCTGTCAGCCCATCACGGCCTCATACAGAAAGGGGACTCCACCATCAGAGGGCAGACACCAGAGCCTGGATTTACTCTCTCAAGAGTGACCAGAAGCTTAAAGACTCTGCTGATTGAAATGCCAGTGATGCAGCCCCAATCAGACAGCAAAGGAGGGAACACTTCTGCTCCTAGAGTGAGTTCTTAGCCTCATTAGGAGGCAAAACAGCAAAGGCTTAGTGAGGTCCAATAAGAATTTAGCCGGGAGTACTTTAAATTGTTAAAATATGTGTGTAAAATGTGGATTTTTTATCTACTGTCATTAATGATGAAGCCCAACCTGCCTTAAGGTATTACCTAATGGTGGAAGGAAGGCCACACTGCGTGACATTTAAAACTGAAGCATCCAGAACACGAAGATGCACCTGTACAGCTTCTTCAATGAAATATAAAGCCATGCAGTACCCACTTCAGTATTTAAAGAAATTTTGCTAAACTTAATGGTAAATTATTTAGGAACTTCCTTGGAGATTTCTTACTTCTCATGAACATACACAAAGCCATTTACCATTACAAAATTCCATTGACAATAAATGTGACAAATAATACATGGAAAACAATATGACAGTAAGCCAAAGTATATTGCTTTGTTAACAAATGTTATCTATAAACATTACTAAATTTAATTTTAAAAGTAGAAAAAAGTCTATAGTGTGTGATATGTTTACAAGTAAATGAAAATAGGATTTGTTTTTAATATTCTATTTCAATGGTAAAATTAAGAAAAAATATACTAGAAAAGATACATTCTCAAAAGTAAATTGCTTTTTAAGTAAAAATAATAAATTACTTTAAGTGAATTATTTTATGGAAAAACTGTAGGTATTAATATATCATTTGAGTGGCTGTATTGACTGGAATTTTTTTCTTAAAGATTTTAGAATAAGATTATAACAAAAGTACCACACATGTAATATATTCACTGCCTCATAAGCAAGTGTTTGAAGTGCTCAAAATCTTTCAGGATGTACTTGATGCTATTAATTTCATTAAAAAAATAAATATAGTAGAATCTTTGTAATACTTCTTAACCAGGTGGGAAGTGATCATGAAAATATTTGGACCTTTCTGGATTTCCCAGTTTATCTTAACAGAATACTTACTAGAGTTACCCAAATGCATATATTCTGTCTTCTATAAAAGCACAAGGATTTTAAGTTTATTGATTCTTTCTGTGGAAAGACGTATAGTTGACCCTTGAGCAATACAGGTTAAAACTGTGAAGATCCACTTATACGCAGACTTTTTTCAACCAAACGTGTAATGAAAATATAGTATTTGCAAGATGTGAAACCTGAGTATACGGAGGGTGGACTTTTCATATGCAAGGGTTCTATGGGCAGACTGCAGACTTGAGTATGTGTGGATTTGGACATGCTCAGGGATTCCTGGAACCAATGACCCAAGTAATTGTTAGTTACGTGGGATGACTGTAATTGTTAGTTGTGTGCTGCCAGCAAATACTAAATACAAATAAGTAAACACTTGAGCTGTCCTTTCAAGATGAAGGTGAGGTCTTATCAGTAAATGAGAAGGTAAATGCTTTGTGAGGGAAATTTCTGGTTTAATGATCACCTTTTAAAAACAGCTGTTTGGAAATGTTTCCATTGTTGTGATTCTGTGCTATTAAAGTGATCAAAACAACACCCTTATTTATTCTAACCTCTCAAGATCTTTTTTTTTTTTTTTTTTTTTTGAGACAGAGTCTCGCTTAGTTGCCCAGGCTGGAGTGCAGTGGCGCGATCTCGGCTCACTGCAAGCTCCGCCTCCCGGGTTCACGCCATTCTCCTGCCTCAGCCTCCCGAGTAGCTGGGACTACAGGCGCCCGCCGCCTCGCTCGGCTAATTTTTTGCATTTTTAGTAGAGACGGGGTTTCACCGTGTTAGCCAGGATGGTCTCGATCTCCTGACCTCGTGATCCGCCCGCCTCGGCCTCCCAAAGTGCTGGGATTACAGGCGTGAGCCACCGCGCCCGGCCAAGATCTTTTAAAAATGAATAATTTCAGTACAGTTGGATTCTTCTGTAAAAGATAAAAATATAACATTGATTAGTTTGCAGAAATAATTATTTGACTCCAGTTAAGAAATGTACTAGTAAAATTTCAGTTTGACTAATTATTAATGTTATAATTTACCTAATATCACCGACAGTACACTTCCTCCGTTGGCTTAACAGATTCCTCAGCAATATCTTTATTAGTCATTAAGACTAAGGATCAAAATAAATTAAGTTAGATTAGCCCTATGAACTGCTATAAAGTGGTCGACAAGATTTTCAAAACTAAGAAGCCATACTCAATCATATTTCTCTTGAAATAATATTTTTAGTAAGAGAAAAGTATTTTTCAAATCATGAATATAATAAAATTATTTTTAAATTAAGTACCTTTCAGCTTTATATGCTTTTTTTAAAGGCTGTTTCAAGTTTTGGAGAAGTTTTACACTGTATATAATCTATGAGTTTAGAATTACATGGGTTTCAGTTATAAATAAATATAATTTAGGGCACTTGATCAAGTGTTTTATTGATAGGAGTGAACTTCAGACATTTGAAAACAGCTGCCCAGAGAATCTTTAGGAGGCTGATCCCCCAACACAGGTCAGAAGATGCAAATCATTGTGCTCTGATAGGGGTCTTTTTAAAAGGCACTTTCTCATGCAGTTAGGCATTTGATAAAGCATTAAATTACGTATACTTTTTATGGGAGGGAATGAAATTTTATTGGGATGTGTGCTTGTATTAAGGAAAATTGGTTAGAAATTTTGCTAATTCTTCTGTTTCTCTAAATACATCATAAAATATTTGTTATTAAGAACGTTTAGAGGAGTAAACTTTATTGCTTTATTTTAAAATCTAGAAACTGTTTTAATTAATTTTCTAATAATTTGTACCTCTCATCAGCAAAACAGGGATTTGGACATGTTCATCAATGCCTCCAAGAATTTCAACCTCAACATCACCTGGGCTGCCAGCTTCTCAGGTAAAGACACCTAGAGAAGACCCCCCCAAATGGAGGTGTGATAGATTAAGAAATGTAATATAGGAATTGAGAAAGCGAGCTTAGGAGACAGATTGGTTTGAAACCACCCTTGCCACTTATTAACTATGAGACCTTGAGCAAGTGTCTAAATCCCTCTGTAAACCTTAACATTATTTTATTCATCTGTAAAGTGAGCATGATACTTACCTCTTAGAATTGTTGTATAGATTAAATGAGGTTATACCTACCAGAGTTTGCTGTGGTGTCAGGCTCTGTGTGGTTACTACCCTAGCCCACCACCACCATTTCTGTTCTTGCTGTGGCCACTGGCACTACCATCATTGTCTAAATCCATGCTTCAGAAGTGAAAAATTCAAATGACTCATCGTTTCAATAAATGAAAACATTTTAAATAAAATGAGATTTCAGTAGGTGCAGAGAAATGTAACTTGGGAATTATATCAAGCTCTAAAAGCGCAGCTCTTACTGTCTGTCTTACTGTGATTCACTGAAGATCTACTGTGTAGAAAATCTAAAGAAATAAAGGATGAAGGGCAAGTGCTGTGACTCATGCCTTTAATCCCAACACTTTGGGAGACTGAGGCAGGAGGATTGCTTGAGCTCAGGAGTTTAAGACCAGCCTGGGTAACATAGTGAGACCCTGTCTCTACAAAAAAAAGAAAAAAAAAAAACCGGGTGTGGTGATGCATACCTGTAATGCCAACTACTCAGGAGGCTGAGATGAGAGGATCACTTGAGCCCAGGAGTTGGAGGCTGCTCTGAGCCATGATCGTGCCATTGCACTCATGTGTGGGCAAACAGAGCAAGATCCCATCTCTTTTTTAAAAAAAAAAAAAAGGAAGAAAGAAAGAAAAAAGGATAATCACTACTTGATAACTCAACAAGTAGATACGGGTTTGAATTTGTCCATTAAATTTACTTGCACCGTGCTGTTAGGCAAGTTACTTAAGGTTTTTGAGCCAGTTTCCTCCTGTATAAAGTAGGATAGTAAAAACGCCGTCCTGGCAGGGCGTGATAGCTCTTGCCTGTAATCCCAGCACTGTGGGAAGCCAAGGTGGGCAAATCATTTGAGGTCAAGAGTTCAAGACCAGCCTGGCCCACGTGGCGAAACCCCGTCTCTCCTAAAAATACAAAAATCAGCCAGGCGTGGAAGTACGTGCCTGTAATCCCAGCTACTCAGGAGGCTGAGGTAGGAGAATTGCCTGAACCTTGAAGGTAGAGGTTGCTGTGAGCCGAGATCACGCCACTGCACTCCAGCCTCGGTGACAAAGTGAAACTCCATCTCAAAAAAAAAAAAAATTTTGAAGCAGGAGAATTGCTTGAACCCGGGAGGTGGAGGTTGCAGTGAGCCGAGATCACGCCACTGCACTCCAGCCTCGGTGACAAAGTGAAACTCCATCTCAAAAAAAAAAAAAATTTTAAAAAAACAAAAAAAAACACCTTCCCAAGTAGAGTGATGTGAGAATTAAACGGGATAATAAATGAAGTAGTCAGTGTAGTGCTTGAAATGTTACAGTAAATGGTAACTATATTTTATCATCATTATTACTATTACAATACTGGGTTTTTTTAAAATCAAAAACACAAACCAATTAGAGTGATGCAAAATAAGAGTATTACCTTGTGCATGCCACTTACATTTATCGTCTTAAAACATTGTGTTGAATTTGAGAAAAGTTCAGAAACTCGCAATGAGGAGAGACTTTTAAGAAAAAGTCTGAATTATCAGAGTCTTTGGAGAAAGGCAGCATCTCCAGGCATGTGAAAGATTTGCAGTGAGCTGGGCCGTGGCTCATGCCTGTAATCCCAGCACTTTGGGAGGCTGAGGCAGGTGGATTACCTGAGGTCAGGAGTTCAAGACCAGCCTGACCAACATGGTGAAACCCCGTCTCTACTGAAAATACAAAATTAGCTGAGTGTGGTGGCGCATGCCTGTAATCCCAGCTACTTAAGAGGCTGAGGCAGGAGAATTGCTTGAACCTGGGAGGCGGAGGTTGCAGTGACCCAAGATTGCGTCATTGCACTCCAGTCTGGACAACAAGAGCGAAACTCCATCTCAAAAAAAGAAAAAAAACCATTTGCAATGAGTGTCTCAATGAAGACGTGATAATCTGGGCTCTAGTCACAGGGTCTAACTCAGACATGGAGAAAAGTCCATTTCATTAATCTTTATCAGCACTTGAATTCTTGGCTGAGGGAGAATGTGGAACATTGAAGGACTGTCTGAGAATAGGATGGAGTTATACCAGATTAGGAGGACTTAAATACCATGGTAGCTGGCGGTAGAAGGGAGGACCGAGTGACCCCTTGAGCCCCTCCTCCCTGCTACTGTGGGTTAGGCAGTGAGCAGTACATCAGCATTACTGGCATGGGAGTCTGGCACATTGCCAAGGAGGTGTAAAGGAGAAATGCAAAGGAATTGAAGTGGTGTGGGCAAAGTGAATGCCAGTGCTTGTTGATAGGATTCTACTGGTGTCGTATTTTCATGATCATGTGTGTCGCCTGTTTGGGGTTGGGGCAAGGGTGGAAGGGAGTTACATGGATTCCTGGTAAAACCTTTTTTTTTTTTTTTTTTTTGAGACGGCATTTCACTCTTTTTGCCCAGGCTGGAGTGCAATGGCACGATCTTGGCTCACCGCAACCTCCACCTCCTGGGTTCAAGCGATTCTCCTGCCTCAGCCTGCTGAGTAGCTGAGATTACAGGCATGTGCCACCACGCCTGCCTAATTGTGTATTTTTAGTAGAGACAGGGTTTCTCCATGTTTGTCAGGCTGGTCTTGAACTCCCAAGCTCAGGTGATCCACCCACCTCGGTCTCCCAAAGTGCTGGGATTACAGGTGTGAGCCACCACACCCAGCTGGTAAAGCCATTTTGGTTAGGGGCATAGGCTTGTATATCAGCCTGCCCAGCTTTAAATCTTATCTCCATTTCTTGCTGGCTATGTGACTTGATGGAAGTCAGTTACTTTCTCTGAACCTCAATTTCCCAGTCTGTAAATGAAGATAATAATAGGGCAACTGTGAGGATTAAATGAGATTGAGCTCTTAAAGGCTATTACTGGAACACAGGAAATGTTTGATAAATGTTGTCCTTATTATTAATGAGGCCAGATTCTGTTCTCCCCCTACCCCCCCAAAAATGTCTCTTCTCTTTCATGTTTTTCTTCTAACAGCTGGAACCCAGGCTGGAGAAGAGATGCCTGTTGTTTCAAAAACCAACATTAAGGAGTACAAAGATAGTTTCTCTAATGAGAAGTTTGATTTTCGCAACCACCCAAATATCACTTTCTTTGTTTATGTCAGTAATTTCACCTGGCCCATCAAAATTCAGGTAAGAAGAGCTTTTTGGTCTCATACCTGCAAAGATGGTGAAATCTCTTTAGTAAGACTAAATTTGCTAATTTGGAGCTTGTGGTAAATGAGATGTGCAATGTGGCCTTGCCTTTGTAATGTCTATGGCAGAGAAGTGCTGAGTACATGCATGCTGCACAGAAGATTGGAGTGGGGATGGACTGTATCACTCGGGAAGGACTTTTGCAAAAGCACTGTTGAAAGCAAGTTGGCATATAACAGATTTGGTCATTATAATCGTATTCACTTCTTCAGTAAGCACTTGCCATGTGAAAACCTGTAGGGCTTCACAAAGAACTTCAATTCTAGAGTAAGGTGGATGTAAGTGAAACAAACCCACATATAACAAGTGAAAGCCAGAGTGTGGAAAGTGACATGAGATGATCCCAGAAATGCTATCAAAGTTTAAAGGAGGACAGCTGGGGAGGCTGTGTTGAAGAACATCAGCCTTGTAGTCAGACAGAGGTGGTTTGATTCCTGGCTCCTATACAAATCATGCAGCCTTTCCAAGTCTCCAGTTCTCTGTGCATGTGACCTGAAGGGTAGTTGTCAGCAGCTGTATGACTGCTGCAGTGTCTTGTTGTCAGCCTACTCCTTTCCTCTGTTCCCAGGGGGCCAGTGTACTCCCACTTTTCCAAGACCCATGGCCCCATTTTAGCTTTTTATACTCATGTCCCCTGGGGCCTTTCCTCAATACCTTCTGCTTCTTACCTTCTTCATTTAGGTGAATGTGGAGGTTGGGGATAGGTGGGCTTTCAGGGACTGGTTCACCTTTAACCACAGAAGCATGGTCACTGGACGGAGGCTGTTGCCGTTTGCCAAAGTTCAGAAGCATAATCAACCTAAGAAGCAAGTCATCACAAGCATATGAAAAAAGTTCAACATCACTGATCATTAGAGAAATGCAAATCAAAACCACAGTGAGATACCATCTCACACCAGTCAGAATGTCTGTTATTAGAAAGTCAAAAAAGAACAGATGCTGGCAAGGCTGTAGAGAAACAACAATGCTTTTACACTGTTGGTGAGAGTGTAAATTAGTTCAGCCATTGTGGAAGACAGTGTGGCAATTCCTCAAAGACCTAGAGGCAGAAATACCATTTGACCCAGCCATCCCATTACTGGATGTATATCCAAAAGAATATAAATTATTCTGTTACAAAGATACATGCACATGTATGTTCATTGAAGCACTATTCACAGTAGCAAAGACATGGAATCAACCTAAATGCCCATCAACAATAGACTGTATAAAGAAAATGTGGTACATATACACCATGGAATACTATGCAGCCATAAAAAGGAATGAGATCATGTCCTTTGCAGGGACATGGGTGGAGCTGGAGGCCATTATCCTCAGCAAACTAATGCAGGAACAGAAAACCAGGTACCACATGTTCTCACTTATAAGTGGGAGCTGAGAACACATGGACACATGGTGGGGAACAACACACACTGGGGCTTGTTGGAGGGTGATGGGGAGGAGGGAGAGCATCAGGAAGAATAGCTAATGGATACTGGGCTTAATACCTAGGTGATGAGATGATGGCACATTATGACACACGTTTACCTATGTAACAAACCTGTATATCCTGCACATGTACCCCTGAACTTAAAAATTAACAACAAAAACAAGTTAACGCTCATCAATTAGGATGCCTTGGGACTGTGACTAAAGAACAGTTGATCTTTCCATTCTGGAAATATAGAGCACAAAAACTATGTTGTACTTTTTCTCACCACCCTCTCTCCTTTTCCTGTCTCCATGGTCTAAGATTTGTTAATCCTCTCATTGGCTTCTCCCTTTGCCCTTGCATACTCCCTGTGTCCCTCCTCAGCCAGTCTTGTAAGCATCCGCTACGCTTCCTATTCCTGTTTCCTCTTGTCTAGTCACACATCTGCTCACAATGGTCTGGCCTCTTCCCTTACCACATCCTGAAACCGTCCTGTCATAGTGGGCCCCAATGATGGAATTCTTCAGTCCTCTTTTTCTCTCATTGCATGGCTTTGAATCATCATCTTTCTTGTCTTCCTGGATTTTTCTTTCCCTCATTCTCTGGCCAGTCTTTTTAGGGAATCCTTTTCCTCTTCCTTAAACACTGGGCTTGTCTAGGATTCAGACCCCGTCCTTTTCTCTCTTTACTCAGTTTCCTGCATGTGGGACTTGTGGTGCCACATCTATTCTGGTGATTCTCAGTGCTGTCTCCAGACCAGCACTGGCAGTTGCTGCCTGGACAGCCCTACCTGGGTAGTCAAAGCTCCCTAAGTTTGGTGCATATTCCTTGTTGTGATCTTAGCCCCAAACTTCCATGCTTCCTTTCTCTGTAAACAACACCACCATCACCCTGTTGCACAAGCCAGGGTCTGCAGATCATTTGCATTCCTGGGATAAACCCAATTTGGGCATGACGTATTATTGCCTTACTTTACACATTGTTGGATTCAGTTTTGCTAACATTTTTGATTAGAATTTTGTATCTATTTCATGAGTAAGAATGTCCGATAATTTTCTCTTGCTGTCCTTGTTATGGTTTTGGTATCATGTTAAACTAACCTTTAATAAAATAATTATAATTTGAGGAGTTTTCACTCTTTCTCATCTCTGGAGAATATGTAAGATTAGAGTTAACTGAACCTCAAGTACTTGGTAGCTCTCACCTGTAAAATCATTTGATCCTAGTGTCTTATTTGTGGAGTTATTTTTTAGCTGCTGATTCAGCTTCTTTAGTAGTTATAGGATATTTTGAATTTCCTCTTTATTTGATTCACTTTTTAATATTTTTTCTAGGTATTTATATCATGTTTTTAAATGTATTTTTAATTTTACTTTTTAAATTGATACATAATTGTACATATTTATGAGGTACATGAGGTATTTTGATACATGCATACAATGTATAGTGATCAAATAAGAGTAATTAGGATATCCATCACCTCAAACATTTATCATTTCTTTGTGTTGAGTACATTTCACATCTTCTAGCTATTTTGAAATAATGAATAAATTATTGCTAACTATAATCATGATGTGTATTGTGCCATTGAACACTAGAACTTCTTCCTTCTAACTCTATTTTTATGCCCTTTAACCTCTATCTCCCCAGCCCCTCAGTCGCTGGTAACCACCATTCTACACTCTACCTCTATGAGATCAGTTTTCTTAGCTCACACATGTGAATGAGAAAATATATTTGTCTTTCTGTGCCTGGCTTGTTTCACTTAACATAATGACCTCCAGTTCCATTCATGTTGCTGCAAAGAACAGGATTTCATTCGTTTTGTGAATGAATAATATTTCGTTGTATAATATATACAACATTTTATTTGTCCATTCGGTTGTTGATGGACACGTAGGTCGATTTCGTATGTTCACTGTTGTGAATAGTGCTGCAATAAACGTTTGTAGCATGCAGTATCTCTTTAGTATACTGATTTTCTTTCTTTTGGATATATACCCAGCGGTGGGATTGCTGGATCATGTGGTGGATCTGTTTTGAGCAGTCTTCATACTGTCTTCTATAGTGGCTGTACTAAATAATTTACATTCCCCCCAGCAGTGAACTAGTATCCTCTTTCCCTGTATCCTTGCCAGCATCTGTTATTTTGTCTTTTTAATAATAGCCATTTTAACGGGGATGAGATGATTTCTTATTATGGTTTTGATTTGCGTTTGCCTGATAATTATTGATGTTGAGTTTTTTTCTTATGCCTGTTGGCCATTTGTATGTCTTCTTTTGAGAAATGTCTGTTCAGATCATTTGCCCATTTTTAAATCACGTTTTTTTTCTATTGAGTTGTTTGAATTCCTGGTGTATTCTGGTTATAAATCCCTTGTTGGAGGGATAGTTTCGAAATATTTTCTCCCATTCTATAAGCTTTCTCTTCATTCTGTTTCCTTTGCTTTGTAGAGCTTTTTGGCTTGATATAATCCCCTTTGTCTATTTTTGCTTTTGTTGCCTGTGATTTCGGCATCTTACACAAAACATCTTTGCCCAGACCAATGTCCTGAAGGATTTTCCCGATATTTTCTTCTAGTAGTTTTATGGTTTTAGGTCTTATACTTAAGCCTTTAATCCATTTAAATTTTATTTTTGTATGTGGTGAGAGAGAGGGACCTCGTGTTGTTTTTCTGCACATGGATATCCACTTTTCCCAGCACCATTTATTGAAGAACCTGTCCTTTCCCTCACTGAATATTCTTGACTCCATTACTGAAAAACAGTTGGCTGTGAATATGTGGATTTATTTCTGGGTTCTTTATTTTGTTCCACTGGTCTGTGTATCTGTTTTTATGCTGGTATCATGCTGTTATGGGTACTATAGCTTTGTAGCATATTTTGAAGTAAGGTGATAGGATGCCTCCAATTTCGTTCTTTTTGCTCAGAAATGCTTTGGTTGGCTGAGTACAGTGGCTCATGCCTATAATCCCAGCACTTTGGGAGGCCAAGGCGGGTGGATCACCTGAGGTCAGGAGTTTGAGACCAGCCTGGCCAACATGGTAAAACCCTGTCTCTAATAAAAATACAAAAATTAGCCATGTGCAGTGGTGGGGCCTGTAATCCCAGCTACTTGGGAGGCTGGGGCAGAAGTGTCTCTTGAACCCAGGAGGAAGAGGCTGCAGTGAGCCAAGATTGCGCCACTACACTCTACCCTGGGCAAACAGAGCGAGACTCTGTCTCAAAAAAAAAAAAAAAAAAAAAAAAAAAAAAAAAAAAAAAAAAGAGAAAAAAATGCTTTGGCTATTTGGGGTCTTCTGTGGTTGCTTACAAATTTTAGAATTGTTTTTTCTATTTCTGTGAAGAATGTCATTGGTGTAGAGATTACATTGAATCCGTAGATAGCTTTTGGTAGTATGGTTTTTTCCACAATATATTATTTCAGTCCACAAACATGGTGTCTCTTTCCATTTTTTTGTGATCTCTTCAATTTCTTACATCAATGTTTTATAGTTTTCCTTGTAAAGAGGACTTTCACCTCCTT